GCAAGATTATAAGCGTTATTATCATGTTCAATAGAAACAGTATTTGTAGATGCTATGAATACTCAAGAATTAGTAGAACGATGGTCCAGAAATAAATCTGGCCGCAGAATGTAGTATGTTGTTTTGTGAAGGATATGAAGGGACAGTGAAAAAATGCTGTTTTCGTCCTGTGTCTGCAAAGTGTGGAGGTAACGGATTATACAGCTGTAAATCCGAAATGAAAAAATGTCAAATTTTGTATTATTTCTTTTACTTTATCAAACTTGTCAGAACATCTTTTTGAACTTACTCCGGTTCTTGAAACTACCCCCCCCCCCTGCTTTAACTTCTTCGCGCCGCCACTGTGCACACTTCATGACTGACTCACTGGCCGTCTCTTGCTGAAACAACATGTGAGAACACATCTAGTTGTGTTCGTTATGGCTTGTTGCTGCAGTTCCGACCACATTTTGTTTTTCTCTTAGATAATCTGAATGGCACTCATTCTTCTACTTTTCGTATGCGTGTGTAGTGTATCCCTTGCTTCGAAGATGCAAGATTTGTTGCTAGTTAATGATCATCAAAAAGCGCCGACGAACTGTACAGTCTGCGAGCTATTTCGTACGTTCCACGAGTCGAACAGGTATGCCACACCAATGACAAGCGCCAGTCGATTTCATGTATCGAATTCTAGATTGATAGCCGACGAAAACGACATTCCCACCTTCGTAACAATGCGCGTCCAGCTACGTGATGGTGTCGAACTCGCCGTTGATTACCTTCCTGTCTCGAACACAGGACGTTTTCCTGCGATCGTCGAGCTCACGCCCTACGGACGGGGACCCACAGGAGTAAGTTTTCGCTACGAAGGTGCCTATTGGCACGAGCTCGGCTATGTATTCGTCGTCGCCGACTGTAGAGGCACTGGTGACTCGGGTGGTGAAATGGCATTTTTCGCTCGCGAGGGTAAGGATGGCTATGATCTGGTCGAATGGATCGCGCGTCAACCGTGGTCTGACGGCCGCGTTGGAATGCGCGGCTTCTCTTATGCTGGAAGCAATCAATGGTATGTCGCACGAGAAAAACCACCCCACCTATCGTGCATTACGCCAAGCTCGACAGTTGGGCGTCCGATGGAAGACATACCCTATTACAACGGCGCGTTTGCGCTCAGTTGGGCGCTAAGTTGGATAGGTTACGGTGTGAACATCGCTCGACCGCCACCCATCGAGGCCCATAATGACCCTACAACTTGGCTAACGCACCACCCGCTTCGCACGTAGGATGTTTATGCAGCTGGACGCGAACTATCACTCTTTCGCACGTTCCTCGACCATCCGATCTATGATTCTTTCTGGCGCATGATCGATTTCACTCCGGCCGATTTCTCGAATATCACTATTCCGTCGCTCGCCTTCAGCGGTTGGTTCGACAGCACACTGTTTGGCACGATCTGGCACTTCCAAGAAGCGCGCCGCTATGCTGCACGTAGCACCGATCACTTTCTCATCATCGGACCCTATACTCACCTTAACACGGCCGGTGGTGGCTACAATTTCATGACTGGTGAGCCAATAAAGATGGTTGGAGACCTCGGGGTTCCCGACAATGCACTTCTGCCAGGCTTAAATATGACGCGCGCATTCTTCGACTGGTGTCTAAAGGATGGTCCTCGACCCAACTGGAAACCGACCAGGATCTTTGTGACTGGAAGTGATCGTTGGATGACAAGCGACTCCTTCCCGCCCCCGGAGGCTCATGAGCGATCACTATTCTTGACGAGTAGAGGGAAGGCCAATGGTGTGGGAGGTGATGGTCGTCTGCAGTGGCAATCATCGACTACCACTGCGACCGACAGCTATCGTTACGACCCTGTCAGCCCAGTGAGAAGTGACTTGGGCGTGAAGTCGACCGACCTACCAATCGACATTAACTATTTGCTCGATCGTGACGATGTTCTAGTTTACACTACCGAGCCATTGGACAAGTCGCTCACGGTGATCGGGGACGTCGTTTTTGAGCTCATCGTCTCCAGTACGGCACCTGACACAGATTTCGTGATCGAATTTATGGATGTGTTGCCAGATGGACGTTCGATCAAGCTCGGCTCGAAGGCTGCCGCTCAGCTCCGTGCCCGTTACCGTAACGGGTTGGACCGTGAGATGTTAATGTCTCCTGATCTGACGTATGTTGTTAGCATCGATATGCACGCGATTGGGCACACATTTCTTCCAGGCAATCGCATCAGGCTGGCTGTCACGAGTAGCTTCTTTCCCTGGATCAGCGCTAACCCGAATACCGGTGGACCGATCGCCACCGACACTCAGCCACCTATCGTGGCGAATCAAACGATTTACCATGCTCACAATCAGCCGTCACGCATTCGCATGATGGTAATCGATAATCCGGTGTTCGATTCATCATTAGGCACATCACTAATTATCACTAATGTGAGCATTAAATCACTAATTTTTCCAATGCTTTTGGCAAAAACATTGCTTTTCACTATTTTTGTTGAAAATTAATGAAAATTAAATTTTTTACAAGATGATCCGACTCATCGAGCAATTTCTTTTTTTTAAGAGTAAGTGACTTACTAGAAATTCTAGTCGTTACTCGACCAGGTATTTGCATAGCAGTGAATGATCAACCAGAGAAATGCTCAACATCAGATTCATCATCGTTGTCATGCTTTTTGAATTTCTTCGTAAACTATCAAGTATTTTTATGTTTCTCAGTAGAAAAAAGTGTGACGATTTTAATAACGAACAAAGCTGATTAAGGACCCTGAACTGTGTCCCAAGATTTTTTAATATACTTCAAGCTGAAGACTTCGGGTTTCTTTCATTTTAAACTAGACACCTAACTACATGGACTAACAGGCGCCGATTTTTTAATTAAGCCTGTATTGGTTTTCCAGGCAACCAACAACCCCCAAAAAACCGAAAAAGCCTTCCGGATTTTCTAAAAATCCGGTATTTGACAAAAAACTAGGACCTACTTCAAAAATCGGCGCTTGTCAGTTTATTTCAAAGTTTTTGACTTGATGCTTTTCCCTGTCATGCGAGAAGTACTAATTAATACTAAATAAAAAATGAAAACTGGAATGAAAATTCACTAATTAACTGTTTTTCATTTTGGAATATCCATGCCGATTCAATTTTTATTGTGCGGACATCTGGTTAGGGAAAAATATCTCTTGCGTTATAAGTTTTTATCGTAGTGTATCATAAGATGATGACGACCTCTATAGCATCGACTGTAAAAGAAATATAAGAATACACGAACGGAAGGCTTTTTCGCCCATGATCGTTAGATCAAACACATAATATGTGTGCGCGATTGGCAGTATTCATTTCGGGCATGCAAGATTAATATATTTCCTTGATTCACATACATCTGTACAAGCATTCGGCTTGCAAGTTGCATGTCTGAAAATGTATGCGACGTGTCTGTGTTCGTGCATGTACAGGCAACGTACGTATCAAGAAATTGGTCTTGGGTAACATATCTGAAAGAAAATATGGACTGTTATTTTCAGGTTGGTCGATGCAGAATAGAGAAAAGAAGAAATTAACAAAGGTCGCTAGTTTTCTGCATTCGGGACACGGCGTTTCTCTTGTTCAAGAACTTTCCTAATTGCCATCTACACTCAACATACCTTGCTTTTACAATTATTTCACAGTTACTGATTTATGAAAAATTAAATTCTATCTAGAAACTGTTAGAAAGTCTTTTGAGTTCTTTCCTCATATGCAAATGAATAATTACTTGAAATAGCTGAATTTTTATAAAATTGACAATTATAAGTTGACCTAATATATTCCTTTTCAGTCTACTCTTGATAGAAGAATCTCAAATCTCAAAAAGAATTAAGGAAACGGAACAGGGATTGAACCTGCCCAGCAATCTTATTTACGTTTTTTCAATTCTCTCTATCAATTCCTGTGTACTTATTCTGAAGTTATCATTCAATTTATTCAAGTTTTTGTACCACTTTTATATTAGCACCTACCTTCACTGAAAAAGAAAACTGTAGTTTTTCTTTCTTCTTATGTGATATCATGTGTTTTATCTTATGTATTCCGTGTACATACATAGTCTATATAATGTGTTTAAATTGTGTTGTTTGTTAAGTAAACAAATAAAAACAATGATAATTTGACCTAGTGGATATTTTTCTCATGTCATACTTACCATTATGGTGGAATGCACTATGCATGCAGCATTAGAGTGAAATCCATTCTTTCAGTATGCCAATAGAAAGCAGCAATCCATTTTGCTGGCATAAGCTATAGATATCGTGTTAAAGTGGGATCGGTTGTAAACACCAGAGTTTAGAACCCTAAATTCAGAGTATGTCACTGAATTCTGCTATGCATTATTAAATTCTGACAAAAATATATTCCAGTAAGATTTTTCGACTCGGCACAATTTAGGACCTGGACACCTAATTTATAATTTTCTGGCGGGATTATATCTCCGTCAGAACTTAATAACGCATAGTAGAATTCATTGACATAAACCAAAATTTAGACTTCTAAAATCTGGTGTTTCATCCATCATCCATCAGAACTTAGTAAAATAGGCACCAAAATTCAACTTCTTTTTGCATCGGGCAGGTGAGAGGTAGAACATTTGTACCACTTTTATATTGGCACCCACCTTCACTGAAAAAGAAAAATGTAGTTTTTCTTTCTTCTCATGTGTTTTATCTTATGTATTTCGTGTACATATATAGTCTATATATATGTCAGTGTCCAAACCCCGATTCAGTCCAATCTCGGATTGGCCTGAAATTTTCTTTTTAATCTAACTTTAGACTAGTTTAAACCAAGATCTTAGTTTGGACTAGAAAAAAGCTAGGCGAAAGTGAGATCGGAGTTTGGACTAGGTCAAACTAAGATCTTAATTTTGCCTAGGCCGATCCTGGATTGGCCTGAATCGGGGTTTGGACGCTGACATATATATATACAACAATCATCTTTACGTATGAAAAGAAACGGCTTCTTTGTCTGATACATTTCTTTGGCATAAAAGTCATTTTTTTAACATATCCCATTAGAAAAATCTTGAAATCTTACAGTAAAGAATTCTGATCTCCCTACTGGCAAAGGTTTATTAAAGAATCTTTTGTAATTATCAGAAGGAGATAAATATATATTGTATCATAATCTTTGAAATATACCCAAGTATAAGTATATATACAAGTAAACTGTAATGGTTATATAACTGTTGCGCTGATAAAACAAAATGGTGAATAGAAAAATGAGAGAACAGAATGCATCTTAACAGACCGAAAAATGCATGTCGCTTGAAGTATAGACAAAATTCATGTATTTTGCTGTCAAGCAGCGTGCCCGTACACATAGACGCCAATCACGTCTCTACCTGGATTCTTGTATGCCTGTATAATGCATGAGATGGATACTGTGAATCAAGCATGCTCGAATTGTAAAAATAGACTAGTCTTGGCCCAAGACTACCCAAGACTCTTGGGTATTTGTGGCAGGTTATGGTGGTAGGTAAAAAACGGAAAACGGAAAATGCATTATATTGGTCAGTTAGACCAATCAAGTTCGAAATGCTGATGATTGGTCTAACTGACCAATATAATGCATTTTCCGTTTTCTGTTTTCCATTTTCTGTTTTTTTACCTATCACCCAGGTTATTTGGTTAGAGCTAAAAGCAGACAATCGGCGTTCATTTTCGTAAAACAACGAAAGACGGCCTGTTCGTAAAAATTCATTGGTCGTTTGCTGCTTCCAATCCAATCACACATTCTACAATTCTTTCACGGTTCGTCATTATCATATTCAATTCATTGAGGTTCACTCACACAAATGTAACCATCCATAGCGCTTACAGGGGTTTATATTGATAAAAATGATAAAAAAATAACCATCAATAATGTTACAGGGATCTATATTGATAAATGATTAAATGAGAGATCATCTGATGTATTTGTGGTAACAGATTTTATTTATTAAATAACATTTTCTTGTTGTGACTAGGAAAATAATTTGTTTTCAACTAGTCTATTTTCAACAACAACAAGAGTGATAACGACCAAGAACAATTATTTTTTTATTTTATTTATTTATTTTTTTCAAAAAAGACCATTTCAACTTTTTTATTACAAAATATGACAAAGACATTGATTAATACTCAACATTCAACGCTAGAACAACAACAAAATTCATTAGATCAAAATGGTGAAAAACAAAGTATTTGGTAAGACTTTGATAAACATGATCGCCATTGTATCTTTTTCATAGGTTCATTTTAGTCTCACTTTATCCGAACACATTAGCCCGAAGCCGTAGTGGCAGTGTGGGGTGTATGTCGACGTTACTAGAGTGCACGGACATCCCGAAATATTAAGACTAATATTAAGTTTTTATAGAGTGACACTATGCTTTCTAGTGGTTAAGACCTAGGACTACTTGCTCCATTCTTTCTCACATACTTCCTCCTGAGTTAATCAGTCATCTTGTTTTCTCAGTGGAAGACTGTTCAGTAAATGATAAGCAAAGGTGCTGAATTTGCCTGAGATTCAAGATAGAATTATTCTGTGGATTGAGTACAACCGATAGAAAAAAAATTCTCGCTAATTCTAGCCGTAGACACAAAAACTTACTTAAGAATACTCATTGTTAGTCGTTCTAGGTTCATAAGTCTGAAAAGTGAACTTTTATAGATTAGCAAAAATTTTCCGTACAGCTGACAAATTTTGTTTTTTACGTATGAATGCCGCAAAGATACGAAAACTACATTAGTAGATAGAAGATTTTAAGCCAGAAGTACCATACTTTTCAATGGTGAGCAATCAACCTGAAAAATATGGCACTTTTGGCTTAAAATCGAGTTTGCACCCTAAAAAAAAAGATTTTTGAAAATCTTTTTAACCAAAATGTAGCTCGCGCTCTCTTTTATCCACTCATGTAGTTTTCCTATTTTTTCGGCATTCATACGTAAAAAAGAAAATTTATCAACTGTAGAGAAAATTTTTGCTAATCTATAAAAGTTCACTTTTCAGTCTTATGGACCATCAACAATGAGCATTCTTAAGTAAGTTTTTGTGCACAAATAGCAAGAGGGAAACAGCTGATTTTGGGATTTTTCCGATTTTCACCAAATGAAAAGTCACCTGGAATTACTACAAGTCATTGGAAATTACTGAGAATCACTGACGATCAATTGGATTTGGACTGATTTTAATCAGCTATTTCCCCCTTGACAAATAGACTGGAATTAGCGCAAGTTTTTTTGCTGACAGCCACTGGTCGGAAACCTTATTGAGCTACACTTGAAGCAATAAAAAGAATTACCTGTACGGAACATTTATATATATATGTATTATTTTTTTGATCATTTTCTAGGGCATCCATCTTACGTGATGTAAAATCATCTACAAAAAAAGCACCAACAACTAAATCGATAATTGTTTTGGGTGATAATGAAAGTGGTCGAACAACATTAGTAGCTAAACTACAAGGCAACGATGATCCAAAACGGGGTGCCGGATTAGAATATCATTATATGGACATTAAAGACGATGATAGAGATGGTAAGAATAACATTTCGCAGTTATGTTGAATATTCAAAAATTGTTTTTGTATAGATACACCAAAATTAGGTGTTTGGATATTGGATGGTGATACATCTTGTTCACAATTATTAAAATTTGTCATTAAACCTGATAATATTGATAATTGTTTAATCTTACTTGTCGCTAGTATGACACAACCATGGTCGATCTTGACCATATTAAAAAAATGGATTACAATTATTGAAGATCATATTGATCGTTTAAAATTAGACACAGATAAATTACGTGAATTAAGAGATAAAATTCAATATGATTTTCAACATTATTTTGAACCAAGTGAAGCAGCGAACAAACGTTTAATAACATCAGTTACATCGTCATCATTAGGATCATCTTCGAGTACAAGTACACCCACGGCGTCAACCTTAACAACGCAAATAATTAACAGTAATAGTGATGATCAATTTATTTTACCACTAGGAGACGGAGTATTAACAAGAAATCTTGGTATACCAATCATTGTTGTCATTACCAAAGTGAGTGACTATCGCGATGCTCTACTCCATTTTAGAGAAACTTTTATTTCTCAAAATATTCACCATTACTACTTGTGTCTAATGAGTAGAAATGGAGAATGTTCCGGACATTTTCTGAGCTAACTTGAATATTTTTTCTTGAAAAAGCAGAAATGATTTCTTAGTATCGATTCCGAATACTGTAGTAGTAAATGGCTTCTAGGCGAAAAAAATGAGGTTTTACTTTAAGACGAGATTTCTGAACCCACTGTGAGGTCCAAAAAGATCTGAACTATTTTGGACAAAGTTCCTAGATAAAATATATACAGAAGTATCATTATACATGAAGATCATTATACTGAAGAGATCATTTTCCGAAACGTTGTTAGCATGGAATACAGCCTTTTTTTCTAGATCACATTAGAATGAAAGTCAATTATTTTTTTTGTCAGATATTTTTTGATCTTTATTCTACCCTCAATTTTTTAGTGGCATAGCCAGGGTTTTCGCAGTGGGTGTGCGCTGTCCCAAAAGTTTTAGAAGTTGTTAAAGGTAGTGTATTTTTGTTCCGTAATAGTTTGTAGAGTAGAAAAGAAAACGGAAAAATGTGTTTTCGTCACCAAATCAATTAAAGAAAATTTAAATAAAAGAAAACATATACAAGAAGAATATATAGCAATTTAATAGAAAATTAATTAGTTTAGTTTCAGCTTTATTGCAAATTCATTAGTGGACAGACAAGAATAAGAATATAAAGAAAATATATACAAGAAGAAGTATGAATAGAAATATGAAAGATATATGAAATATGTCAACAGCTGACGGTTTTTGAAATTCTGTTGCCAGCAGTTAAGTTTTTTTGAAATGTTATTGGTTTTGTCAACTCACAAGAGCTATAAATAACTGCCCTAAACTACAGACGATACCGCCAAAAAAATATCGAAGCAAGAATGGAAAGTATTAGATACAGCTACACGGCTACATCGTGAATTTGCAATAAAGCTGAAACTAAACTAATTAATTTTCCATTAACCCTTTGAGGACGGGATTATTTTTTCAAAAAATAATCGCGCAATAGTAGCGACACCCCTGTAACTCAAGAGCCATGATAGCTAAGTACTTCTAATTTTGTGTGATCATAGCTCTTCCCAAATGCTGATCACCCACCAACTTTGCACCTCTTTTACTGGATGGTTCATGAGATATAAGCAATTCCTTTCTTTTCCGTAAAATGTCAATAGCTCCTGACCTAAGAGAGATGAAAGCTGTTTCTTTTTACAAAAATGCAGCCACACTCTACTCTATCTACGATATGAATTTTGTGAGTTGGCTGTTAGGAGTCAGTGAAATATAGCTATTTTACGGAAGAGGTTAGCTTTTTTTGTTGAAAATCCGAGGTTCTTTGCGAAAAGAAATTCACAACTCAGTCTAAGAGCCTCATTTTGGCTTCAAATTCGTATCAAAGACTCTACAGTGTCTGTAGATTATCTAGCCAAAGTATGAAGGTTAACTATTGTGTGATTCTGGAAATTCATTTAGGACGACCATTCACGATTGAAACATACGTAGAAGGGCGGCGGTGATGAACCAAGGGTCGCACTTTCTACTATAGAATTTGCAATCCATGTACATGGTAATCATGAAAAAATAATCATGAAAGCCTATGGTTCGAAAAAACGTTGGTGAAACTTTTGTAAGAAGGATTACACACTCACCTCTAACCTAGAGAGAAAATTTTCAAATGAAATTGTTTTGATTGAAAACCGAGTTTTAAGTATGCTGTTCGACCCAGTTTTGTCTGCCGATCTCAAATATATTATTATTTTTGCTAAAAAATATATGGGAAGTGAGAAAGGGGCAAAATAAGTGAAGTAACGAAGGTTTTATGTACTGCCCGTATATATACGGGCCCCGTCACCAAAGGGTTAAATTGCTATATATTCTTCTTGTATATGTTTTCTTTTATTTCTTTAATTGATTTGATGATCAAAAGTCTTATTTTTTGGTGATCATTTCACTGCTAATAAATTTGGTGATCAAAAGTAACTTTTTTGGCGATCAAAAAAATTGATACTCAAAGAAAAATTTAGACTTTGAAGAGAAAATGATTACTAACTGTTCAGGTTTTTCATTAAAAAAATAAACTGATACATGTTCATTAAACCAAACGAATTTTACTATTATTTGTTTGGCAAATGTATCAACAATTTCAAAAATGTTTTTTCAGATTCAGTTTTTCTCTTGTATGAGTGCTGCTTGCACATATGATCTCGTTCTATATTGCTGCTAATGAGTCAATTGTACGGGATAGACAATAGGTAATTCCAAAACCTTACTTAAGCACAAGGCATTGTTTTGTTTTAGTGTGACGTAATGCCAACACTGGAAAAAGAAAATAATTATAGAGATGAACAGTTTGATTTTATGCAACATCATTTAAGAAAATTTTGTTTACAATGTAAGTCACATTTTCTGTTCACTTTATCTAGTTTTTAACTGATGCTTGTTTGCTTATGTTCAGATGGTGCTTCTCTGATTTATACATCTGTTAAAGAAAAAAAAAATATTGATAAATTATATAAATATATTGTTCATAAATGTTACAATTATCCATTTCACTATCCAGCTGCTGTTATTGAAAGAGACTCAATATTTATACCAAATGGATGGGATAATGAGAAAAAAACTGATATTCTACTAGAAAATTTACATAAAATTAAACCAATGGATAATTATTCAGATATATTTAGTAAACCAGTCATTCGACGAGTAAGCAGACGGTTTTAAACATTACTAGCGATTTCAAACTGAACGAGCCGATTACTGTGAAATGTGTGAAGTGGGAGAAGTTAAGATTACAGATATTAATGACTGGTCATTGTTTTGATATATATCTGTATAAGCCAAATAGAATATACGGTTTGTTTTAGCTATATATATCTCAAAATTAATTGTATTTCTCATCATGTGAGTCTTTTAACGTCACTAGATTGTTTATTTGAAACAAATTGGCAATATTTTCTTCCTGCTAATTTAACGCTTGTTCTTGACTGATTGAAATATCGTAATCTTGGTTGTACACTTTTGCTCACTTTTTTCTGTCGTTTGAGATAACATGTTGTCGTAGTTTATAAATGTAATAAAGTAACCTTAAAAAGATTAAACGTCCATGTCACGTTTTCATAAGATATAGTTGTTGTTTTTTAAAAAAACTCGACCCAATGTTTCTAATTGTAGCCATTACAACGTGATACTGAAATTATTACAGCTGAAGATGATCAAGAGTTTTTGACTAAATTACAATCGACATTAAACAGAACAGCATCGCCAGCAAGAACAGTACGTTTCATTCATTTATTTCCTCTATTTATGTTATTTATTGTTTTAGGAAGACAATACTCATACGCCTCTAATGCCGTCCAGAGCAACAGCCGGTACAATTGGAAGTCAGTCATCTAATTCGGTACCAAATTCTCGGCGTGTAGCTGGGCCATCGGTAATTAGTTCGCTAGTATCTGACTTCCTTTTTTATTACACAGTTTATTTTAGACCCCGAATACATCAAACGAAGGCGCATTGGCCGTTTTTTTTAATGGTTTATTAACAAGAAAATCAGTACCCGGAACGCCGACCACACCTCGACAAAGTATGAACTATATCTTTTTGACTTTTTTTTTCTTTTTCTGCAAAAGAACATATTTTTCTCGTGATTTTTGTTGTGTTTTATCTTGCTAAAGCAGATACAAAACAATTTTGATCTGTCAACCTAATTCATTTCACTAATTATTGAAATTCGTTAATAATATAATGCTGTCATTGTGATTACTATTTTCTTCTAATGTGTGTACTGACTTGTTGTTAGCTAGAGGAATTGTGTATAATTCATGAGCTCAAAACTATCGTCTAACATATTTAATAACTTGATATTGTGATTAAAAGATCGAAATCTTATATCAAACGAACATCGTACGTCATTCATAGAAAACGAGCTATTAGCTCATATACGATCTCGGTCGCCATCACCTTCTAGACAAACAACTACACCAGTTGAAAATGACGATCAAAATGGAAATTTAGAACAAAAATTATCATTCGGTCTTATCAGATCTCGATCTTCACCGCTACTAAACTCATCGAAATTTCTCAAAAACCTAGCATAATACACGAAAGCATATACAACCAAGGTATTGCTTCGATTCGATCACATTCCTCTTCACCAATTCAAAGAACAAAGAAGAACATCGCTACCAATGATACCGAACTAATTGTGGATACTGAATTACAAGATATTTCAGAAGACGATGAGCAACAGCCCTGCCTTCAATTATAACAAGAAATGATCAGAATATTGAAGAGCAGAATCACTAAAAACTATGTTTATCTACCACGGCACCCCCAAAAGAATCGAATTCTATTAGTAAATTTGGTAAGCTTAACATTGAACAAGGCTCGAAAGAAAAGCAAAATATACAATCTAATGATGGTTCACCTAGTCGATCTCAATCTCCGTCATTGGAACAATCCGAAACTGATAGGAGCTACCAAGAGCAAAATGATGACATTGCCCAAAACAGTAGTGGCGGTCAAGCTCGAACGTCACCATAATAATCATAAGAATACTGTCGACGACAACAATAACCACAGACCAATAACAAGTAATGATAACCATAATCATTCAGGTATTCCTTTAACAGTGTTCTCCCAAAACGTGGTGACAGTGCTTCCCGTACGTATTTGGTGTTCCTCTATGGTCAAAAAATTGAGTAAGATTGTGGTTCGAGTTGTATACTCCAGAAAAGAAAGAATAAACAATAGGAAAAACAAAAAGAACCACACGGCGTTTAGTGATGTGTCACTCGAAATTTCGCAAAACTTCTGCTTTCAGTTAAAAATAACGTCTGAAAGACATTGTTTTTGTGATAGACACTAAACACCTGACAGCGAAACAAAGACATTTCTGACAAGCAAAATTTTTGGGAAAGCAGAAGTTTTGCGAAATTTCGAGTGACACATCACTAAACGCAGTTTTTGACGCTGAGCACGAATATGACGTTAATTTTTGATGGAAAATGTTTTTATGGGTGGAAAGCCGGCTTTGATGTTCGGAAACCCGTTTTTCCCTCTGACCTTAAAAGTCTAAATTTCTCTTTTCATACCCATATACAGTAACTACTTGACTACATGATAACGCAAAGATATCCAAAAAATGTTTACCCTCCCGTGCAGAAAAGATATTTCAAAAATACCCTCAAGATCTAAAATATTAAAAGATGGGTCAAATTCTCTCACTTAACTTTCACACTATATTTATCTTATTCAGTTTTGGACGCTCTTTCGAATGGCTTAATCAGAATTTTTTTTCAGTCATCCATACCTGAGATGGAGAGTCACACTGAAGAGTATGGCACTTTTAGCTTAAAGTCGCGTTTTCACCCTAAGGAAAAGCTTTTCAAAATTGTTTTTTTACCAAAATGTAGCCCGTGTCTTGCCCTTCAAAATGAGATATTACTCGATATTTATCACATTTGCATTTGCGGAGAGTTTTAAAGTCGTACGAATACTTTCTGACATAGGAAGGCAAACTGTCCAACTTGTTTCTCATACAGCTCCGTCATTAAAAGTCGAAACGTGATGAAAATTTTAGATTAGATAGAGTAACTCTCGAGCTTTCGTTTGATATATTTGGAAGTACAAAAATCTTTTAAATGACTGAGCAAAAGTAAAAAAACTGCTCGTACGAATACTTTCTGGCACAACTGTATATTCTGTCAACAATATAACTCCAACTTGTCGTTGTTCAATAATCCGCTTTTGGTCATTTTGACTTATCGAAATAAGATCAACTACTTCCTTTAATTTCTTATTGATCCTTTTTGATAAATTTTCACATTAAGAACGTTAATAATATTAAGAACAATTGTTTTTGTACTTCTTTTTGTTTTTCTTATTGTTTATTCTTTCTTTTCTGGAGTATACAACTCGAACCACAATCTTACTCAATTTTTTGACCATAGAGGAACACCAAATACGTATGGGGAGCACTCATCATCCTCCAACATTTGGTTTAAACTTAACGGAACAAGTATTGATCACACTGGATCATTAAGAGACGGACATCATGTGGAAAACTCTCCACTAGCCGTGTTTAAGAACTTATCTGTCGATAAACAATTTAAAGAGAAGAATAGTGCAGGCGAAATACTGCTTCGGTCTTACACTCATCTGGTTTCTAACCAACACTGTAACATCAATTCCTGCAGAACAATCTCTTCCAATACGAGATCACCGTAATTCAACTATCATGTTACTTTCACCGTTAAATGATCAGCAAGAGTTACTCTCTGGACGTTTGCCATTAACTCAATCTCAAGTAAACAATCATTCTGTCCAAGACGAAGTCAGTCATAACCCATTGCTTAAATTGAGCAGGAATCAAGCAAAAATTCACAGAGTTTCGCCCGCCTCGATCAATTCGTCAACCATACACGAATTAGTAGAAGATCTCAATGATGAAGTTCAACTGAAGTTCAAGTGAATATCAAAAAAGTAATGATAAGAGTTCAATGACTTTATTATACAATGTCACTGTTATGCCTTTTGAAACATCAAGTCAATTAATTCGCCCTACTAGTCTTCGCTTTGTGCCGAATGATGATGAGACAATTGATTGGAATAACGAAGTTAATTATAACGATGAAGTAACTATTAATCACAGTACACCAAGTACCATCGCAGCTGAGAGAAAAATAAGTCCAGAAGTCTCTGATCAAAGCAAACTGATGTTAATCAGCATAATGTGGCTAATATTAACAAAAGTGAACATTCAGTAATACCAGATCCAAACACATATGGTAATCTTATTTCTACTGTAAGCGATTTGAACAGCAAAAATGTTTATCACTTGAAACCACTTACCACAACTCCAGCAAAGATATTCAGTCCATTTTGTGATAGTTTATCTCAGAATGAGGACGCCACAGATGTAAAAGAAAAGTCAAAAATGATGGTCAAACAACGTTCAATTACTGATCCGTCATCCAGTACCAAAACGAATTTTAAACGTTATTCACTTGATGAATTATCAAAATCGTTAAGACAAATGCTTACAATAAGTGATCGTGAAAAAATGGATCCGAATCACTTTTGCATGTAGATGAAACTAGTAAGAGAATGGTGATTAGACAATTTAAAAGTTGTGGGTGCAAGTTTAATATTTCTAGATAAGTACTTCTCATAGGTGATAATTAACGTCTAAAAATGAAAAGGTTGGATTGATCTCGGTTATTGTTATTCTATAAATTGCATTCAATAATTTGTTACATTATCACATTGTGTCGAATGATAAATCGTCTAGATATCTTTTGTTAAAAAATAAAATGCTCCTGCGATCAGTTTTTTTGGATGACAGTTTTGCTTATTGGTTTAACATCTGTATTAAAACATGTTGAATAGTTAAAATTATCTTCTATCGATTCTATCTCATTCTTCTTTTTTTCTATTTTAGATATTGACCAAGTCGAACAGATCATACCCAATACAGAAACTACTTGATAAATGTCAATATTTAATACTACAGTAAACAATTGATAAAGTGCACATCACAGTAATATTAGATTATATATGAAACACCGGGGATTATCTAATATTATATATTTAGAAATATTATTCTGCTTTGTTATTATTATTGTTGTTGTTGTTGTTTATTTTCTTTTTACAAAGATATTAAGTATGTATTTTTTTATTTTATTTTCAATTTGTAATGTGGTTTAGTTGTGCTTTTCTATCATTTAAGCCTTGGTTTGTTGTTTTTGTTTTCATCAATATAGTGCATAGACTTTTGTACATTGTTAACAAATAGCAGCATAGATAGGTCTGTGTATGTCGTTTTCTACTACTGCTGCTGAAAAAAAAAAGGCGACTTGTATTTGTAACTTAATTATTTATGTTTCTTTTTCTTACTAACCAGTTCAATTCTTATTAAAGGGAGAAAGAAGAAATGAGAGAGTGATGTTTTTATATTTTTTCGTTTTACATTTGAGAGATAGAGTTTTTATCGAATTTGTATAAAATCAGTCTGTATAGTTAGTCTGTCTCTGTTCTATTGTATGAAACAACAAATAATAAGTTCATTAGATGATATTTGCGAATATAATTATTTCTTGTTTGATAAACAACATCCAGTCTTATCACAGTGGATTATTCTGATGTGCCATACTAACATTTGATTTTTCTTCTTAAATCGATTGAATTTAATGTAAGTTAACTTTTCATACCTCAAAGTATATATTTAAATATAAAACAACTTTTCCCCCGAAAAACTCGACATGAATTTGATGCCTATTATAGTTTAGCTATATGTCAAAGACACTGGTCTTAACCTGACTCGTCCTCAGTCTCATTTTGAAAGTTTCTTATACACAAGGGCTAACATATAGTGATTTATTATCAATATTTTCTGTAGAATTTTCAAATGTGGAATAACAATGGATGCTAAAAATTCTTTTTTTAATGTAATCACTCTCTAAATTATTAAATTTTAGAATAATGACTATACTTTAGAATGCCATACAATTTCAAGAAATATATTACGCTTGTTAGAAACAGGGATGCCTCAGCGTTTTAGGAGCATGGGACGAGTACATGAATTTCGAAGTAAAAAGTCTTTTCTTTCAAAAGTCTAAGTAAATTACAAGAAACTACAGGCTACTGACTTTTACATTCAGAGTAAAAACTCGAAAAATTAAAATAAAATTTAAAAAGCACGTTCTCTGTAAAAATTCGCATGTTTTAATGTATGTTTCAGAATTTTAGAAGAAATATTTGCGAGAAAAATAGCTGAAGTAAAAAATGTGAAAACACCGAGAAAATCTCTTTTCTGACAGACCTTGGTCACTGTATTTTTTTAATTCAAAACAACTTAAAAATTTTCACTGTTCAACTTAACAGTCACACCGTTTTGTTCAGAATAAATTTTACATCCGATGCATGAAAATAAACATTTCATAGATCAAGTCCGACTTTGGAAAACATGATTTTCTAGATCAACTAAGGATAGTTTCATTATTTCACCTCTTTTGCTCACAAAACATCTCAGTTGTTATATATCATTCGATAGAGAATTTCACGGGCTATAAAATGCTATATAGACTATTGAGAAGAAAATGTAACAATACTCTAAAATCAAAAATATTCTGTAGCATCTCCGCAAACCGGTATGTCAACAAGAAAAACAAGGTTGTGTGTAGAAATTTTCCAACAGAATTGTACTAATTTTTTTTTCATGAGCTGGTAGCCCGAAGTCTCCTCTTCAAAACGGGAATCAAGCACGACCCTGATTTTCTGCTAATCACCGATTCCCTACAACTTCTGGGATGTATTAAACGTTTACCCACATGGAGTCCCAGGACTGGCATTCGGTGACGATTGGTAGCCTTGAAAGTTGGTGGATTATCTAAAGAAGATATTGGACTGTAGAAATAACGATCGACCATCATAAACTAGTTGCATTTCCGCAATCATTAATAACCAATACATCAAATTTATGCTATGAATAGAAGAAAATAAATGGTTACATTTTAGTACAAAAAAGAAATTTTCCAACAAGTTCTTTTCTCTATTTTAGCCGATTGGCATGAGAACTCAACAACAACAAAAACACAGTCAACATCTTCATCACAGAAAGCAAAAAAACCGCGCGGTGTTTTGTAAAAAATATAAAGACTTCAGTTCATTTGTAGAGCATTAAATTCTCTGTGGAATGACCTCAAACCGAGTTTTAAAACGTTAAATGTTTAAGTGCCCCAGAAGCAGAAAACAAAACTTCATTCTTGATAATATCTAGAACTGACGAGGGAACTTTCCAACGTGAGCCAAAACTTTTCTAAGCTTCCAAATCAGTTTTTCCAATGTAGTACTTGATGCTGATCACGAATCTGATGTCTGTTTGTGCCCTTATTGAGTTTCTGAATGGATCTTCGAAGTATGGTCTCTAGAAATCTATCGTGAATCTTAGGATCAATAGATTCTGATCTAATCAGTTTGTAAAGCTGATCAAGTTGCCTTTGAAAAAATTTTAATTGAATTATAAATGGTTTACTATAAAAAATCCCGCAAAGGTTAGATACTTTACTATACTTGAAATTAATATTTTTGTTTGATCGCTTTAAAAATTTTCCCCAAAAAAACTCGATGAGATTTACAAACTGATTAGATTCAGTATCTGTTTATCCTAAAATCCATGATGGATTTCTAGAGACCAGACTTCGAAAAATTTATTCAGAAACTCAATAAGGGCACAAACAGACATCACGGTTATTCCGCGTAACTCTGCTACTGGAAAGCTGTGCGTTACCGTTTTTAGGGGACTTCAAAACGTTAGAAGTTTTTGAAAAAAAAAAGTTGCTGAGAGTCACATAACCTCTCCTTCGAAAGAAGATTCGAAGTTCTTCAAAACTGGATTCAAGCAAACTTCTGGAAAGTTTTCGTTCGGACAATACCTCGAAGACAAAACAGACGCGTCAACTTGTTTTTTTTCAAAATAGTATCTTCCAATTATCTTGATATATCGTCCAAATGAAAACTTTCCAGGAGTTTGCTTGAATCCAGTTTTGAAGAAGTTCGAATCTTCTTTCGAAGGACAGGTTGCGCAACTCTCGATGACTTTTTCTCAAAAAGCTATAACGTTTTGAAGTCTCCAAGAAACGGTAACGTAATCAGCTTTCCGGTAGCAGAGTTACGTGGAATGGCCGGTCAGATTGTTCAAACTCATGGTCTCTAAAACCTAGCACAAACTTGTATCTGAACAATTTTGTCTTTTCTTGGTGAAACCACATCAGTCATCCTTATTTTGGCTAAATAAAAAACTGCAGTTTTTATACTCGGTAAAAACTTATTCATTAATTCGAATAACTTGTCTACATAGAGTACTTAATATGCTCTGTAATCTGACGCTAACAGAATTTGTTCAAACAAAAGTTTGTGATGAGATTCCAAAGAATGATGGAATTGACTTTGAACAAAAGTTTTCGCGGGCTGTACCAGACTCGTGATTAACATAAAAAATTATTCATTCTCAAGTAGGTTTCAATGAACAATCGCGAAAACACTTGGAAAGCTTTCGGCCTTAACCTGTACCACTTTGTGTACACCAAAAAAGATCATGGGAAGTCTAGTTTCGAATTATAATTTAATGGAACTAGAAATATTCTTGTATAGTAAAAATTCAAAAATATTTTTAACAATCTACTGATACGTTCAAAATAATAATTCTTACTACTCACCAAACAATGGCGGGGATAGCCCGAGGCCTCCTCTTCAAAACGGGAGTCAAGCACGATCTTGATTTTCCTCGACTCGCCGATTCCCTACGAGTCCCAGGACTAACATTCGATGACGATTGGTGGCCTTGAAAGTTGGTGGATTACAGGTAATCGATTATGCTGAGTCTCGCGGCAATATTTGTTTTTAGAAAAACTTTTGAAAATTTGGCGATAAGCGAGTTTTACGAAAATTAGACTTTTCAGACTGTTTTCATATAATATTAAAGAATTCACTATTCACTTTATAGCCATCAGAACGAGTTCAACACTTCAGGATATGGTTAATTTTGCCCACTAAACGTGATTATCAAATCGAAACCTGTAATCCACCAACTTTCAAGGCTACCAATCGTCACCGAATGCCAGTCCTGGGACTCCATGTGGGTAAACGTTTAATACATCCCAGAAGTTGTAGGGAATCGGTGATTAGCAGAAAATCAGGGTCGTGCTTGATTCCCGTTTTGAAGAGGAGACTTCGGGCTACCAGCTCATGAAAAAAAAATTAGTACAATTCTGTTGGAAAATTTCTACACACAACCTTGTTTTTCTTGTTGACATACCGGTTTGCGGAGATGCTACAGAATATTTTTGATTTTAGAGTATTGTTACATTTTCTTCTCAATAGTCTATATAGCATTTTATAGCCCGTGAAATTCTCTATCGAATGATATATAACAACTGAGATGTTTTGTGAGCAAAAGAGGTGAAATAATGAAACTATCCTTAGTTGATCTAGCGAGAGAGAGCTTTTAAATACGAAAAGTTTGCCATGGAGCACCAGAAAACGTTTTTAAGGTTTAGGAATGTATCAGTTTTCATACCGGAGAGAAACAACATCGAATCCCTGTATAGAATAATTATCTGAGAGGGGCCGATTTTGTCATTTATCGAACCCCGGCCTTTTTCTCAGAACTCGCTCTCGGTCTAATTTCTTCACAACAATGTCAACAACATATCAATACACCTAATTAGTAGTTTATACAATGTTTAACAGTTACTTTCTTAATAGGCACAGATACCAATTTGTTGTCGATAACCATCTACATACGTTTATTATAATAGGAATATATCCGTAAAACAAGAAAGAAACACAACGGCGGAAAAAACAAAAATAAACAGGATAATCAGTTGAAGTCGGTCACCATATACGCTAGACAATAACAACAACAGCAACAAAACAGAAAAAAAAAGTTATAATTGAGAAAAATAACAACGCGATCGCTATTTAAAGCGAGTAAAAGAATAAGAATAATCGTATCATAGAGAAAACCAGTGAACCAAAAAGAAAGAAAGCTCTATTTCAAGAGAGCATAGATATCAGTACAACAGGCAAACGAACAATTTTTATCACCCTCTTTTTCATTAGTGAAGAAATTACTGTTCAAAAACAACACAACAATTTTTTTAGCTTTAAAGTTCTATGAGTTTTTCGTTTTATCAAACTTCACCATGCTTGTGTAATACTCTACTGAAAATAACAACAAAAAATTTTTTTCACACCCCATCAAAACAGTACTAACTTTTTTTTTATTAAAAACAAAAAACAAAACATACTTAAAGAGGCACACTCACACAAAAGATGTATATCTCGATGCTGATGCTATCACGACGGTAAACATAACTATCATATACCCCACAGATCACAAATAAGAAAAAATCTCTTTGTATTACATAGATTAAAAACAAAAATGTGTTGACTTATTTTTTTCAACGATTTTGTTTAATGGAAAAAGTAAGGAGAGAAAAATACACATAAATAAAAAATAAAAAATATTTCTTTGCTGCTGCAGTTTATTTCCCTCCAACCGCAAAATGAAAAGAAGAAAAATAAGTTTTTTTCTACCGGTCCATTTGCCGATAAATAATAACAATATAGCCATAGTTTTCTTTCCTATCGAATCAAAACTTGTTGTAATTTGTTTTACTAATTTTGCAAAGAATGAACTGAAGTCTTTATATTTTTTTACAAAACACCGCGCGGTTTTTTTGCTTTCTGTGATGAAGATGTTGACTGTGTTTTTGTTGTTGTTGAGTTCTCATGCCAATCGGCTAAAATAGAGAAAAGAATTTGTTGAAAAATTTCTTTTTTGTACTAAAATGTAACCATTATTTTCTTCTATTCATAGCATAAATTTGATGTATTGGTTATTAATGATTGCGGAAATGCAACTAGTTTATGATGGTCGATCATTATTTCTACAGTCCAATATCTTGTTTAGACAAAAAAGACTTATAAACCAGCCTTGAAACATGACTTTAATTTCAGACTTACACCAAATACTCTTGGATATTCGTAGATTATTCATCCAAAGTTTAAAGGTTAACTATTATATGATTCCGGAGATCCATTGAGAATGACCAGGCGCTAATGAATAGACGTAGAGAGACGAGCTTGAGGAACTAAATGTCATCCTTTCTATCATATCTTTTGCATTCAATGTACGTCATAATTAAGCTAAAACATAATCATGGGAACATGTGGAGACAAAAAAAAGTAGATGAAATATTGTCAGAAACTTTTAGTACTCTTTACCCCCTTTCTAGCAGAAATACTATAACTCTTTGTAAAAGTGACTGCTACACGTCAATTTTCAGGATTTGTAGAAAAAAATGTCTCTGTTATCTACACATATGTTTCTCTTTTGCAGAAAAATAAAGTATAAGTGTCAATGATAATATCATTAAATGTTGTATTTTCAAGCTTTGTAACGTAAAACAATGTAATGTAGAAAAGACATCCTTAGTTGCGTAAACTTGTTCAGAGATTCGCACTTATTGAGAACTATAGCCACATAAGTCATAAAGCGCAAAGCTGTCATGATTCTTGAGAGTGAGGGATATACTTTTACCGGGTATTGTAGGTATAATCGTCTAGGCAATATCTCTTATTTTCACAATGAATTTACTCTTTTTTATCATAAAGATAATTTTTATATATATACACATTAATCCTACGATTTTTATTCAAGTGTCTTTCTATTTCCGTCATACATAATCCTGTTATTCGATCTTTTACATGCACACAGTGTATTAAACACTAGCAGAAATCAAACAGATAATCAACTGTAAAGAATTTTCATCTCTAAGTTAAGAAACAAGGCGTTCGCTTATCTACTAACAATTGATTACCTGTTGTTTGTTTTCCATCATTCTTTGTTGGTTTCATTTTTACATCCTTGTTTGAGAGAAGAAAAAACGACTATTTTATATGCTATTTACTTTTATTATCCAATAGACTACTTACTTTATCAGTAGCAATATCAGTAGATTCAACTGCACTATGTTCCATATCATCTTCATCCTCTATCAGATCATGGTTTACAATTTCGTCGGATTCAACTTCATCTTCTAAAGTAAGATTCATTATTTTTCGATTACAACCACAGTTTTTTAAGTAACGTATAGAGCTTACTAACTATCAAAACTGATTATAAACTTAAGAAAAGGTGTCGTCTGCATTTAGTAAGATAGTCTTATACACTCAAATCAATAAATATTTATGCTCATTTTTTTCACAAAAGATCCATGAACTACGATATCGGTAGCTAAAACACATTTTACACTTTTGTTTACCTTTATCTTCCTCTTCCTCTTCCTCTTCTTCTTCATCATCGGACTGTTCGCCACTTTCCTCTTCTCCATTTTCTCCAACTATTTCTGTTCGTTTCAAAGATGGCTGAGTTTCATCTTCACCTGTGCCATTATCCAATGTATCTGAATCAACGTCCCCGCGCAAATCATCTAAATCGTCCATATCTGCATCATGTGCTTGTTTTTGTTGATTTCTCTTATCAGCGGTTGTTGTTTGTAATGAATGAGGTAAAATCTTTTTTACATGAATTTTAAATTCTTCCTAGAAATAAACAGAACCAATTTGTATATTCCAGACTGTCTTTTCTAAATACTAAAAAAGACAAAACAGCAGTTATCAATGCATGGTTCTATTCCTCAACAACTTAAGCTCATAAATTATCTATTTAGTTTCTTACAAAACTACAGAACTGGTATTTGATTGGTGTAACTATACATAAACGTTGCTTACTTCAACATATTCTGGCCAATCTCCAATATCATGCACATTAAATGGTTTATTATTCGATGCTGTTGTATGTGTTTTTTGTGATTTCCACCAATCATCATTTGCCGTATAGAGATCTGTTGAAACAGGAAGTATTTGACAAATTTCAATTGGTTCTTGAAGTCTTTGCTGTTGAAACTGTGAATTTGATGCCATTGTTGATGAATTTGTTTCTGATTTCGTGGTATCTCTTTGCCAATTTTTATTACCAAAACTGTTATTTGTATTATTCACATTATGAATTGGACTTGTTTTTGAGTTCATATCATTATTTAATTTTAGAGGAATTTTACTTCCTGAACCTTTTTTCTGTTGTTCAGTTGATTGATCACTTTTTGTTTTGCGATTACGATTGCTTACCTACAATAATAATATCACACGAGTAAACAAATGACGTTAAATAAAAGGTAATCAGTTTACCTGTTTACTAGCACCCTGTGTTAACCATTGACCGTCATCTTCATGATCACCAGTATCATTATGACCTTCAACACCCTCAACGTATGCTGTACGTTTTTCCTTCTTTGGTTTTGTTTCGGTTTGTTGTTGTTCTCGAATAGGTTGCACTTCTTTTGATTTTGATTCGACTTGTTTCGCAGCAACCGGTTGTTGTTTTTTATTACTGTCTACATTTTTATTTGCTTGAACATCTGATTTTGTTGACGTCTTTTCTCGATTTTGTTGCTGTTCTTAAAAAAAACAATAGATTTTAAAAATTAATTTTTTATAATCTACATGACACTTACCTTTGCCTATATTTTTATTTTTTTCAGGTATTGATGAAACTGTTGGCGATTTCGTCTTATTCTTAGCTCCTTTTGTCACAAATAAATCATCATCGTTCTCATCGTTCTCATTTTCTTCATATTGTTGATGTTTTGACGAATGTTCTTTACTCGGCTTTTCTAATAGAGACTGTTTATTACTAACAGTTTCTTTACCTGTTGTACGCTTTTCACTACTTTGTTTTTGTTGTTGACTATCATTTTTTACTACTTGTTGCTGTTTTTTATCATCAACTTTATTTTTCGAAGAAGATTGTTGCTTTGATTGATTTGTTGTAGCAACATCCCTTGACGTTGAAGATTTTGATGTCTAAAAGAACAGAGCCATAAGATAAAAGAGATACTTGTCATCTTCATTTTAAAGAACATTCAAAAACACATATTATTTCTTGTTTTTGGTATACTTACATTTTGTTGTTGTTTTTGAATCGGTGAACCTTTTTTTGTTTTTGATTTTTGTGCTGGTTCATCCTCTTCCGCATCACTATCAGTTGATTCTATTACTTTTTGTTTAGGCACAGATTTCTTATTTACTGTTTTCTCAGATTGTTGTTTTTTATTACTCGTTTTTTCTTTTGTTTCATTGTCGTTTAATTTCGTTTTTTGATGTTTTGAATCAGACTTCTTTGATGGTGACGAAGATTTTAGTGATGGAGATGACGGGAAAAATGTTTTAAAACCAATTAAATAAATAAGAACTAAACCAAATATAGCTGAACCGACGATGGCTATGATTGGCAATGGTAGTAAAACAGCTGTATCAAACAACATCTAAAGAGAAAAAACGGAAGTAATAACAACTGCTAAGATATGCATAACATGATAGGATGTTGAGTAGATTAAAAAAGGTCGACGTTTAGAGAGAAATACTCTTTTTAACAATTCGGCATTAAATAAATGAATTCAGCAGCAAATGTGAAAAGATCAAACTGTTTTTATAAATGACACCTTTTTAATGCTACAATTGAGGAAATCGTACGTTTTGCATGGAGTATATAATTACGGACATATAATTCACAATACTTCACGATCAGTGCGCAGAGATTTTTGTCTATTTATCGTCACAGTTAGATGCACCTAACACAACTTCTTTTCCTTTACAATATACAAATTTAGACAGTAAATCATTGTAAACCTGTCCAGGTAAAAACACATCAGAATCTTTGTCCTAGTAAACGAAAGACTTCTCAAACTACACTTATCCGATCTACTTCTTACCAAAAAGATAACGGTCAAGTATTAAAGAAAATAGATAAATGTTATTTAATAAAAATGATTATTTAAAGTAAAAACTGGTACGAGAATGTTCATCATGTTAGCTACTACATCAATATAACCGTGTTGTAGAAGAATAGAAACGATTTACATTCGACAGTAAATCGAAGTCAGTCAAAAAAGGCACATCCTTTAAAACTTCAAAATACAAGAACAAAATTACTTTTATTTATCGAATTTCATAAGCATTAAAACGATTCCAAATAGTTCAACTAAAAACGTTGTTGTTCTCTCAGTATGAGACCGTATCGGAAAAGATCGTTCAAAATATCATATCCTCTATACTAGATAGATATTATAAATAAATATAAATATGATGTAGCAGTATTATATATATATACACATATAGAATCTTAATGATGACGCTGTATTTCGATACTGATACCGTCTCGTAGATGGATAATAGTTATTACCAATCCCATACAAGTTGAAAAATGTCTTCGTGTAAGTTCTAACTTCAAGAAGCAAAAGCCACTTCAAATCACCTTGTTTAGAGCAAGGTTTTCAGCAAGCTTTGGTTTTTAACGAGCTATTTTGGATAGAGGGCACTTGTCGAGAATAGTATTCTACGTCACCCGTAGCTAGAAGTTTTCAGCTCTCTCAGGAATTTCTAACAGATGTTTGTAGATTCGAGTATACTTCTTCTTCTTGGAGTGTCGCTAGCCTACTGCGAACGTTAAAAAGTTCTGAATGCTCTGGAGAGTTTCAGAAAGAGGCACTATCCTGATGAACCGTACTTTTTGTAAAACTATTAGAATCGGCTCTACCTTAATCTTTCAAGTCGATGGATCGAAACATCGAATATTAACTGGTTCCTTCCATGGCTAATGAATAATTATTTGATGTGATGATGTTTCAATGTTATTCCAAATCGCAGTTCTTCCTTTTATTCTATTGTGCTAAACGATCTGCCTGAATAAGAAGGATGGAAAAAATAGATTCTTTGTGATTTTTTCAGCTTTGTTGTTTTCGTTTTTACCGTTACACTTTATTTTTTAAGTCGAACGATGCATCTACCTGCCTTTTCATGGGGACTTTCTCTTTGCACCACTGATCAGCTGTTTTCTTATAAGAACGTACTTCTTTGTTGAGTTACATTCGCGTTCATATCTCATGTCATTTCGGGTTGACTTCTTTGATTCGCATATAAAAGTTTTTAAAATGAAGTGGATATTCAAAATGTGCAAAAAACCAAATTAGAATCAGGTAATATATGAGCGTGTCTTTAGAGTACACTACTTTGCTTCGTAAAAGGCGTTTTAAAGAAATCATTCTTGTTCTCGTTGGAACGGTTTTGGTTATTTACTGTTGTTTGCCCATTTAGTCAAAGATCTGTGTAGGAGGGATCAAATAAAGTAAGTTGTGACCTATTTTAGATATTGACAGCTTTCATATACAACGATCAAGAAAAAGTTTATTATTCATTGTCACTGTGAATGAATTATTTCGTGCAGTTGACATTTTTACTGTTATATTTGTCAATACCTAAATGTAAGTAACTCATCGAGTTTATGGACTTAGAAATAATTAAAAGTTGATTTTGTTTCTAGTATGTGCAATTGATCTTGTTGAAAATGGTATTAAATTCTATGATGTAATTAAAAATGTTCATGATGATACAAAACAACATCAGCGTTCGAAACGTTCTGCCAATGAATATAAATTTAAGCCAGAACGTATTTTAACCTTAGAATTATTTGACAAGTATGGTTTTAAATAACAATCGAATGTTAAATATACTATTCTTCTATTTTAGAAATATCACTCTTATTCTTAAGCAAAATGATGAATTCTTAGCAACAAACACCATTCATCTGGGTGATGAGCATGTACCATTTGATTCATCGATACTCTACACAGGATACGTTGATGGTATGTTTCAGTCAAGCTGTTTAGTATTGATTTCGATCGAAGCTATACAGTGTTTTTGAGTGAGTTAATAGATGATAAGTAATCCATTATTATAGGTATTTCTAAATAATTGAGTTTTTAGTAAGTAACACATATTATAGTTCTAATGATTTTGCTAGTGTTGCGGAATGTTTTCATAACAAGTTTTTTCTCATTTGCTATGTGTTGGTGCTGATGATTAACCCTTTTTACTCCTACTTTGCAAAAACATTACGCTGCATAATTCTCGTTTGTAAAGCTAAAATGTCTGCTTTTCTGCAACATAATGCTTCAAGCTTTATCTTATTTATTTGTTTGAGAGAATACTGCGCAGATTAAACAAAATGTCATATACAGTCATAGAACGTTTTAGATAACACGAAAACAGACGGATTTCACAAGAAAATTAACTGAATATATTTCTAAGAGGACTATTGGTTTTTGGATTTTATTTTTGAAAACCCCATGCAGTCAGATAGTTTATTTAACTTCCATTTAAGGTTATCCCACAACATCATATGTAACGGGTGGATTTTACTCATCTTGGTTTGATGGTTTAATCAAATATTCGAATGAAACTTATTACATTGAACCAAGTATAAAATATTCAAAATCTATCCCTGGTGTATCAGTTATTTATAATGCATTAGATGTTATCAAACCCGATAAAAAAGCATTTCGATTTAAACGTTATGCCTCTAATGAAGAACAACAAAAAGATGAAAGTTCCTTCTTTTGTGGTTTAAATGACAAACGTAAACAGCAGATGAACAGAGAAGCACAACGATTGAAAACACATCAGACGGTAAGTAAATGAAATAGAGAGATTTAATGTTGAGTTTTATTGCAGAGTTTTGTTTTTCTTTGCAGAATGAAACAACATTGAACGACGATGATGATCAAAGTGATAATGACTTTAAAAAACGTTATACAAGTCGAACAAAACGAGATTCTAATTCTGAGAAAACATGTTGCTATATTTATATACGTGTGGATCCTACACTATGGGATATTGTGTACAAAAATGAAGGTTTATATGTGAGTACTTATATTTTCTTTAGATAACCTATTTAAAACTATAATGTTTTGGTTTTTGTAGGATAAAGAGCCAACAATTCATGCTATCGTGACGTTTTTGTACCGTACTGTGACTGCGGCTAATGCACTTTATCGCACACTTAAGTTTGAATCAAATGGCGAAACATTATATAGATTTACAATTCGTATTAAACGGATTCGAGTGAGTATGAAAAAAATACTATCTTCATCGTTCATGTTCAAAGAGTAGCATAACTATTTTACTGTCATTGTTTGTGTCATATTTTAGATTCTTACTCCAACTGATTGTTCTTCTAAAAACTTGAGTATATCTGAAATGAATATTTGTCGCTCCTATTTGGATTCAAACGTTCTTCTAACTTGGCATTCGGCTGAAGATTTTCATGAATATTGTTTGGCCTATATATTTGCTGCTCGAGATTTCGGTGATGGAACATTAGGATTAGCATGGATGGGCAGCGTAGCATCAAGTACGTTCCTTTTTCCTATATTATTTTCATATAACTATTCGCTAAATTCTTGTTTTGTTTTGTAGACAGTCGCGGTGGTATTTGTGAACAACCAGCTCGAGACATTTACGAAGGCGAAAGAGTACTGAAAACACTCAACACGGGAATGGTGACAATAATTAATCATAACACAAGGACATCATCACTAATGACAGAATTAACGTTTGCTCATGAAGTGGGCCACAATTTGGGTGCAGAGGTAGACCTTTTCACATCTCTATTACACTCACAGGCATATAAATGACTCTACATTAATGTGCGACCTTACCGAAAATCATTGTAATGACTTTTACGTTCTTAATACTACGACAAATTACGCACTTAGGATTTGTCCAAGGAGAGCGTTTGTACGGCAAAAAAATATTTTTCGTTTCTAGCTAGTTTTCTTCCTGGACACTGCTTTAGATTTTTCTCAGTTAAGAAGCACCGAATCTGGTGTATTCTTCCTGACGGCAATATCCGTGCCATACTTCAAAACTTGATTTTTCCTGCCTATAAATTGTTTTTTCTTGCAGCATGATGACGATAAATGTGGTGGGGACTCAAATCATGGTCATTATATCATGTATCGACGAGCGACAACAGGTCTTGAAGATAACAACAATAAATTTTCAAACTGTAGTATGGAAAAAATGAGTCCAGTAGTGATTGCTGTTAAAATTGGAAAAGAGAAAAAAAATTGTTTAACTGGTACGTAAAAACGATGATGTGTCTCGAAAAATGTATTCTTCTAAATCAATATTTTGTTCTAGAATGTACCCAGGTCGGCTACTGTGGAAATCGAAATGTTGAAGATGATGAAGAATGTGATTGTGGCTTCACCGACGAGTGTACAGATAAATGTTGTTATCCCGCTGGTGGTCCAAATGCAAAACTAGGATGCAAATTAAGATCAGGCTCTCTTTGCAGGTGACAAAGAATGATAGTTAAACACTCGAGAATTAAATAACAAGAAAACTTTTCTTTTAGTCCTTCAAAGGGTCCTTGTTGTTCAGATGATTGTACATTCCAACCTGAGTCACATGTATGCCACAAAGATACGACAAATGAAGAATGCATTGGAAATGTTAAATGCGAGTAAGTTTTTCGCTAAAAATGAGATGAGAAAAAAATCGGTAAATATGTTGGCTTTTTCTAGTGGTGTGCGTGCAACTTGTCCGATGAATGACACGAAATTTTTCAAACCAACAAATACACCATGTAATCAAAACACAGCATTATGTGATAAAGGGGTAGGTACTCATAGTTTTATTGATACGTTAATTTTGTCCACACTTTAGTACGGATACGTTGCATTAGCCTTGCGTGATGTTTCCAATTTCCTAGTGAAGTATTGACCGTTAGTTTTACACAAGCCATATATATTAAAAATGAGAAAAGTAGTATATTGAAAATTAAAATCATGTATTTTTCTGTGAAAGTTCTTCAAATGAATTAAACGTTTTTGCTCTTCGCTTGCAATTGTTATCTGCGTTTGAAATAGAAATTACTCTTTCTTCAAGATACTTCGACCTTTTTCAAAACTCTTATATGATATTTTTTAGGAATGTACAAAATCGATCTGCACATTAATTAATCGAACAGAGTGCACTCTTACAATTCCAAATGTTGCTGAACCTCTTCGACAACGTGGTGTCGATCGCGAATATTTATGTCATATTGGATGTCTTGACGGTAAAAAAAATAGGCAATGTTTCTGTAGATATTCTAGTTGACAAGTTGTTCTATTTTTTTAGCACGAACAAACACATGCGTTGATACGTTAACACTTGGTATGCGCAATAATGCGATAAAAGGCGGTTTAGGATATAAACATCGACCAGGTTTGTGATAAGAAACGTTACACAACGAATTACTTTTCTATCATGTTTTACTTTAGGTCATGCATGTGCTGGGACCACTGGCTATTGTGATGTATTTGGAAAATGTCGAGCTGTTGATGCCGAAGGACCACTGACTCGACTGAAAAATATGTTATTAAACGAAGAGAATATTAGAACATTTACACAATTAGTTAGGGTAAAAATAGTCTAGTTTTCTAAAAAGAACTATTCGTTTGTTGGAGATAATAATAATAAGAAGAGTTTTTATCCATGAAGGAATTGAATATGGTCGAACTCGGAGCATATATTACCAAGAAGATTTTATTAGTTTTTACAGGCTTTATTAATTTTCTTGTTGTAACATCATTTGTAATTATTCTAGGAATACTGGTGGGCATTTTCCCTTGGACTATTAGGTGTTTTATTATTGATGGGTATATTTGTTAAAATCTGTAGTGTACATACACCCTCTTCAAATCCCAGACGAAAACCAGCCAGATCATTGTCAATTAAAAGGGTAAATGAGAAAATCAAATAGACACCATTTGAAACTTTATCTTAGTTTTTTATCTTCTTTTATTTAGACTCGTGTTCGCACAAATGCTTTTATAACTCCTCCACCATTGACAGCGTCAAATGGTGAACATTTGAATCTACAACAATCTCAACTATTTGTCAGACAAACATCGTCAGAAAATAATCCTAATCGTTTAAATAATCAGATAACTAATACTGCACGTTTGTAATTTTATGTTTTCTTTTGAAAATATTTCAATGATTTTATTTGTCTGTATTTTTGCTTCTGAACAGTATATTGCGTTGATATCTTTTTGTTTTTTCATTACCGTTCAGTCGATTTTTTTTTTGTATTGCTCAATTGAGAAGCGCGAAGAAGATAAAAACATGCCTTCTCCCTATTGCTATTGGCTACGACCAAAACTTGTTTACAATTTTTTTTTGTTTAGAATTAGTCTTTGTGACAGTACGAGATAAAATGTCAGTTAATTAAATTAGTTTAGTTTGATTCTTGCCACTTACATTCCTTAAGTGACAACTTTCATCTTTGTACGGTCAGATATGTCTATATAGACGCGATTTAAAAATATAATTTTGAGAAGCATATCTTTCATTTTTCTTTCTTTTTTTTGTTTTACCGTCCAGCAATCTATTCGTTTTTCACCCTGAAACGGTATTTGTTTCTTATCCTCTTTCAATTAGTCAGCCATCATTTTTATGTACGAACGTTGTTTCTTTAAAAAGATCGAGTTGAATAGAGAAAAGTGATAGAAAATGACGAGCCTGAATTCTTTTTTATTATTACAATACAGACACGTTTTTTGTTGTTGTTTTTGTATAGCTCTTTCTTTTTTCTTCGTAGTTTTCTTTGTTGTTAAATATATTGAAATAATAATTAATACTCTTGTTATATCTTTTTCAATACAAACGAAATAAAACGATTTTTTTATACGAAAATACATAAATCCTTTTATTTAACAGTTGATTATAATAGAATACTATCTGTTTGTCGTAAATGATAGACAAAATGTCTGCGCACACCAAAAGGTTGATAGGTTTTCCAGAAATCCATCGTAAGAGAATAGATTAGTTTAGAGTTGTTTTGGTGTTTTAAGTATTCAATCTACTCGTCTGATAATGTTCTATAGATCCCAAGCGGTTTGATTAGATTTTGAGTGAGATATGAGTATTTTACTCTTGTACAGTTCTAGCTCAATTTGTGTATTTTTCTCAAAACTCAATTTCACTAGGTTTACTCACCATTTTCTGAAAATAAAAAACGTTGTCACGAGATTCAGTATGGTCGATAACCTATGTTTTCATTTACTTTAGAGGTTATCCGAGGTCACCTAATATCAGTCTTGGGGCTCCCAGCAAAACTGATACCACGCTCAGAACTACAGAGACTGAACTTACTGATCAAAATATTGTACATAGCTCAGTTTGTAGAACATTCGACGAGTTTTAAAATGGTATATCACAAAACGTACATGTTTCTTTACTAGTGTAAGAAATAATAAAAACTGAACGTGCGTCACATTTTTACCTAGTCGATTTACTTCTGGTCCATTTTCTAGGGACTGATTCCACCGACTTTGAAATTCCGAATATGCCAGGTTGTAGCAACTTTCATGAGCTTCAAAATGGTGTATAATAGAAAAATATATGTTTTCTTGTTTGAGAGAGAAGGTGATCGCACAAGCGAGGACTACCTACTACATTGTATCCGTAGGATTATTCTACGCGTTCTCCCACTATCATAGCACTGTGATTAATTGTTATTTTACACACATTTCCTAGAGAATTTCACGGGCTATCCAATTATATGTTTATTTTGTCGTTTACATGAAAGAAACATGAGAAAAACATCTTTTACGTAATCTGTAGCTGATCTTTGAAGGATGACCTATTGGCGAGGAGTTTAGTCACCAAAAGCTGTAAGAAATTCCCGAGATCTGTTATAAAAGTAGATCAGGTTCGCTGAATTGTTTAAGATTATCAACAAAGATGCCAGAGAACGCTACACTTTCGTAGTTTCATGACATAAAAATATCATCCTCTGTTTTGGCTAACTTATTAACGCTATGAGGCTACAATTTAAAAAGATAAAACTTGGCGATCTTTAAAATTGATTGATTGATGTTTTGGATTTTCTATTTATTTTGTGCACATTTTAGAACGTTTTGGAATTTGATTGGTAAGTTGAAATGTTGAAAATTAGTAAAAACGAAACGAACTTTTTCTTTGTATCTAGATCATGCGAGCAAAATGGAGAAAGAAACGGTAAATGAAACACATCTTCAATATTTCTTTTTTAACGGTAATTGATAGCGGAATTTTCCTTGTAGTATGCGAAGACTTAAACGTAAACGACGACGAATGCGTGAAAGATCAAAATAGAAAATGGAGTCAACTTCAGTGACAACATGGAACAGAATGGAATGAAAATAAGACCTTGGAAATGTAAAAATGAGCTCTTTATGTATTTGAATATTTTGCTCAGTTAAACATTTTTTTTATCGTCGTTGATCTTTATATTGTTTTGTTGATCTTTGATAAAAGATAAAACTGAAGGAAAACGTTAAAGTAATAATTCATTGATATTCTTGAGTTGACCACAGGAATAGCTTATGTAGATGCTCAATATGACAATGGTATGGTTAAATTTGAGTGAAGTTCTTTCACTGCGGAGGAGCAGAATGGGCCATTTACGACCCATTCGGGTTGAGTGACATGAAAATTTAATATTTTGCTTATTTGTTTTTTGCAATTGTGTTTACTTAATCTGTATATAGCTAGAAAGTTCTTCCTATCATGAATTGTTTTGAAAAATGAAGAAAAATGATTCATCATAGGCTTAATTTTATTACAAGCATCCGAGGTCTTTACTGTCGAAAATATCGAAAATTGTATTTTGAGGAAGAGTTTAAGATAACTTAAATTTATATTTAGAATTCTGGATAAACTTAGAATTTGACAAATGACCGCTGGGTAGAGATTATACTTTTGATGTTGCTAAAAAATCCATCAACGTTACAGTTATAGTTCTTCAGTTAAAAACTGAAAATGGTGCATGTCTACGGTCTAGAAATCTTGCAAATGAATGGAAAAATAGATTTTTGACACTGTTGGGACCGTAAGTTTTTCTAATATAAACTGCTCGTGTTCTAAAGCCTAGGTCTAATGAAAAGAACGATAATGTATCTTATTTCAATAAACAAAATAGCTGCAGAAAAAAACCATTTTTCATCGTTAGTCGAGACTCCCGGACTTTGAGGATTTTGAGGACTTTCGTTGAACTCCCGCAGGACTCGAAAGTTCAACAGGAGTCCCATGGGAATCCTCAGGAGTCCTGAGAAATCCCTTGAAAGTCCCACCTGACTTCCACGGGACCCCGTCACAGGAGTCCCGTGGGAGTTTGATCGGGAGTCTCGACTAGGGAACCGTCCGAATACAAAAATAACCAGCCTGTGCAAGTAAAAAAGAATCTTAAGAAAAAATCAGATTTTTTCACTTTTTCGAAAATTCGCTGTTTTCAGACTCTTATCTTAGCCGAGAGGTAATGAAAAAAAAGTTATTTTTTACGAATCTATAGCTTATTGAATTCTCTACACAATGAAAGCTTCTCAATCCGATCCTTTGTTACTCTACTACTTCATTTCTACGAATGGGTCGAAAATGGTCCAAGCGGGGAGTAAAGGGTTAAACGATCATAATCAAGAAAACTATGAAAATGATCTGTTAGAATATCATGTTCAATAACGCAGAAGCTAGAAAAAAAAGGAAGGCTTCGCTACAGGTAGTGTTTTATATCTACAAATATGTCTCAAAAAACAATTTCCGTAGTCGCATATAATATAATGTAAATAATTGAAACTAATTTATTACTCTTTCTCGTAGAACAGTAGTTAAAACATCAAAAATATAAATCAAAATCTATTTTGTACTGCTAGATGATGAATCACCAGCTAGATAGCAATTCATAGATCCTTTGATCACATGACGTAATTATTTTTATAAAGTAGAAAAAAAGTAATTTTCTCCACTCCATTCTTTTATTCTAATTAGATGTTATGTTAAACAAATTCTTTTTCCAAAGAAATATATTAGATTGTATTGAAAAATAGAAGAGAAAATGCTTCTAAATAAAAAAAGCAACAAATTTTTAAAAATATGGAGAGGATATCAAATTTTCGAAGATTGCAATAGGATAAGAAAATAAAAGGGATATTCACTGTCTTCGGAGAACATATTTTTCTATTGAGCATCGATGTGTGTGTATGTACATCAGCTTGACGCAGAAATGGTTGTCAATGATAGACAAGAACAACAATGATAATTAATTACTAGAGGAAAACTCAAAAATATGAGATATATACGAGATAGACGAAGAGAGGAAGAGAGGAAAAGAGAAAAAAACAACAACGTTGTGTTTTTTTTAAACAGCAATTGGTTGTGGCTGATTCATATGCATTCCATTTCCATTTTGTCCTATTTCATGGTGAGGCTGATAGAATTTGTGACCAGTAGGATCATCATGACGAAACACGAACGATGAACGAGGAGTTCTAGAACATGATAAAAACAATAGAATATCAAAAAATTTCTCAGAATAGAATCTTACTCTAATAAAGCGGCTGGACATGGATCTATAGATTTGGGTGTAAATTCTACTCGATACATTGTTGAATCATCGAACGGTGCTCCCGATGCGTATACTGATCCATCTGGTTTAAATGATCGAGATGGACCACCTTGATGAGGAATGTAATGACCTAAAATGAATACATATTTTTAAAATAAGCGTAATATAGATCTAAATTAACAATTGTTTGAGTTTACAGTTTCTGAAACTATTGCAAAAAATATGAATTATACAGGTGTGACATAAAGACAAAAAAAAGCTTCTCTCTTGTACCACTTATCTTAGATTCTTTTATTCTTTCTAACAGTCAAAGATGTCAAATGCTCCTCTATAAGGAGAACAGTCTAGAGATTTGTACTTTTTTCTAACAGTTTCCAATGGACTCATCACTTTCTGATAATAGACCTTTAATGTTTAGCACTTTGTCTTTATGTGACAAACAGTATGCATGTGAGAAGACAAAATATATATATCTAGATTATCTATTGGCTTATCTGTTTTCGCAAACAAGCTGACTAATACCGCAATTGAAAATTAATTTCTTTTATTTTTTCAATTCCAATGTCTAATTCATTTGTAAAAACCATTTTTTCATATGAATTATTGTTAAACGGATGCACAAATCTTTTCATCGAGTTCGTGTGCAAGGAAAATCTTCAACATAACGAAAAGTTTTTTATTCTTTGTTTTCTCGACCAAATTTCCTTTGTTTAATAGTGCACTTTTAAACATCTTAAGATCTTTGTCAGAAAAATATTTAATACAACTCGAAAGAAAATATTAAAAAAAGTAGATAATTGTTTATGCAATCTATTCAATAACTTCTCCTACTACGATATATGCAAATTAATCAACTGACAGTCCAAATTGTCAGCCACCACTTCAGAGGAGAACCGAAAAAAATTTATACCTAATCTAGATTAATTTCTTTACCTCTTACTATCGTTCTATAAAATCTCAGGTAAACTGACCTTTGTATGTACTCAATCCCTCAAATGGTACCATTGGTGGTTCATATCCTGATTGTGATCTTATCGCTGGTGGTCTTGAGCCAGGCCATTTTCTATAATCTCCTCCATACGTTGTATCAGCTTGAAATTTAGCATCAATCATTCGTCGTTCAGTCGGTCTGATTGCATTGACTTTTTGCATCGGTTTATGAGTGTACTCTGTATTGTACATTGTGTTTAAATCCATATCACCCGGTTGAGCACGATATTCATCTGGTTTACGTTGTTGATTTGGTTGAACATCCCATTTTTTAAAATCTGTTTTATTCGTTGTTGAATCATCGAAACGAGCATCACTCCGATAACCTTGTTGATCGGGTTTCATTGAACGTGTTCGATCACCTAAAATAAAAATATATTAATTTTATTGTCAGTTAGCAAGAGTAAAATTCTATCACTACCTTCTTTTGGTGTGAAATCTTTTCGATGTGTTGTCAATGAGTCTAATGCAACTTTGTTTGGAATATACTCTTCTCTTGTGCGTTGAAAACGTTCTTGCATGGGATGTTTAATATAATCCGTACGATAACCGGTTCTATCATCAAATGGTTCCACAGATTGTAGTACACCTTGATCAGGTCTGATTGGTTGACGTACACCAGAATTATGTTTCAAAAAATCTGTTGTATATGTACTTTCGCCTCTAAATGGATCCACTGGTGCAGTCTAATTAAAAATTTTATTCAACTTTTATAAATAATGATAAATGTTTCTCTCTTTCTCTTACCCAACCGGCATCGTGCCGAATTGGCTCTGTTCTTCCAGCTTCCCATTTTCTATAATCACCTAAAAAATTAGAGTAATAAATGCAACAAGTCCTTCCAAAAATTCAAAATTAAAATGTAAAACAAACTTCGATAAGTTGGATCTCCTTCAAATGGAGCTGATATTAGTTTTTGTCCATCGTGTCTAATTGGTCTTGCTCGTTCACCACCTTTTACTTAAAAAAACCAACAACAACAAGAAATATTTAAAAAAGTAATGAGGTCAAAACACACACTCCTACCGGTATATTCTTTATTGTAACTGGTAAGTGAATCAAAATCACCCATAGGAACATATACTTCATCTGGTTTAAATGATTTTTGTCGATCGAGAGCATGTCTGATATAATCATGTCTATAAAAATAGTAAACAGCTTTTTAACTATTTGAAATCAATTTTTTTGAAGATTAAAATTTATTACTTGTGTGTTGTTTCATCATCCATTGGAACATTACTGGATTGTATTGAATAATCAGGTTTGAATGATTGTCTCATACCAGTTTCTCTTGGAATAAATTCGCTGCGATATTCTGTCACTGCACATGGTTGGTCGCCTTTTCCAATTATTCCGAACGGACGATGAGGACAGCGATGGTGTCTATAAAATATTTAATTTTAAATAACTTCTTGAAAATATTAAAAAAATGTCAAAGAAACAGAATGAGTATAAAATTTTAACAAAATCTTATCGAAAATTAATATAACTTAGAAATCTTTATCTCTGAATCTTCACCTAAGTGAGCTCAAATAGAATATACTAGAATCGTCAATACATTTGGCTACTCAAATGTAATTCCCAAATACCATGGTGTTTACATTTTTTTTCATACAGATCTTCTATAACCGACATACAATCGCTTCCGAAATACGACATTATATTCCTCTATTGCCTTATACTAAAAAGACTTTTAATAAATGTAAATTGCTATGATAAATAAGTGTATAGAGAAAGTCAGTCATATATTTATCAATGTTTTTCTCATTGTTGAGAATAATGAAGGTGAGTCAAAATGTCAAAACTCGAAAATAATAACATAATTTCAATTCTGCACTGTCCCACATATTTTTAGTCACCAAATGTTCTGAAAAATGCTTTTAAAAATGTATTCAATAAAACCTTTTCAATTGATGTTTTGTCAGAAGAATAAAATCCTTAAAAAAGTCGGTCAATAAATTTTATTTTAGAGAAATGAAAGTGAATCCGTTCATCCCACATTATTCAAAGAGCATAATTAGGAATATTCAATGTCATCTACATGCTAGAGTTGCTGCTAAACAATCAAAAGGTTACTTAGTTTTTTGAGAAGTTTTTCAAAAATACATCGTTTCTGACAGTATCAGAAATGTCTTCCTATTGATTTGGACGGTTTTTTAAATTAACAATGGGGCAGACGATGCCAATATGTTCTTTTTGAGAAACAAATTGAAATTGTCCATTGATTCGTAGCCTGATAATGAAACTTTCAGAGCTGGCCTGTTTTGCTATTATCGAGAATATTTTGACAGTGTTAAATATGTGAATCACAGACCGAAACTGGTCAACCAAACGTGATCCGAACCCGAAAATTTTACAATTGTGATCCGAACTAGACCCGAAACATGAATATGTTTTTGTACACATTCGCACAGAAACACTTCTTTCCTATAGAAAAGTTATCTTAGTCAGATTGTTTTGAAATGTTTTCAAAAAAAGGGGCAGATTCTTTACGGTTTCCGTCATTTTTTCCTTTTATGAGTAGAAAAGTTTGGATTATTGAGGCAGTTTATTTTATATTGACCTGAGTTAGATAGAAACGGGTCAACCAAACCCGACCCGAACCGAACGTGAGTTAACTCGACCTGATCCGAATCAATATCTTTTACATCGGCCCGAACCCGACCCGACTCGCGGGTCAGCCCGACCCCTTTCGGTCTCTGATATGAATACGTGGTTTTCAATTGTGATTAGTTTTTTGGGGAATTTTTAGAGAACCGTCAGAAAACCTATTTGCTATTTTCATTGTATGATAATTCCAGTAGATAAATGACATTGAAAACTATCATCACTAAAATTCTTTTCTCTTTTTTGACGTTACACTACTGACGTTATACCTAGTGTCGATTCTTTAAGTACAAATCTACTATTAGTTTTGTTGAAAAAAATGAAAATACAAGATATTCTCGTTTCATGACTAATTTGAATCATAGTTGATTCTAGGTATCATTACTTAATCCAACGCTTTTCATCAGAAACGTGTGTTTTCTTTTCTTTGTGATATTCATGCACTTTGCGTTAAATAGGACAGGATTCAATAGGGCTGCATTATACTTCTACTGACTAGCTATTTAGCTATTTTTTTATGTCCTTCCATTTTTGGTAAATAAAGTTCAAGTTCAAGTTCAGGTTCAAGAACTATGTTTGATAAGGTTTATTTATTTATAACCTAATCAAAGGCTCACGTATGCACGACTATCTCTGATATAATTTTTATTTTGGTTTACCAGGCTCTTTACTGTATTGTGATGGAGTATGAATGAAAACTGTGTTAGTTTTGTAGCCCGCACGGAGTTGTATAAGAATCTGCATTTATTTTCTGTTAAAGTTATGATATATGGCTGAGAGCACGACTGGAAAAGCCGTTTTTATCGAAAAATCCCAAATGGGATTGATCGAACGACTCTCATGAATCTCCAGATTAATCAAAACTCAGTCTAAGGACGGTGGAATTTTGATACCACTGGACTACCTTAGAACAAAGCAAAATGCTAACGTTAAATTAACTCAAGTATTCTGCTTTCTACTGGAAGTATATTTCCGACAAAAGATGAAGAAGAAAAAGAGCGAATGAACTGGCTAAAAAAACGTGATGTCCGCAATTCAAAACTAACGTTTAAATGCAACGAAGGAATAAACTAAAGATCAAACCGAATCTGAGATTCGTTGAGTTTTCCTTGTTATTGAACGGTGGGAACTATGGTGATAGTTCAGAGACAGATTATGTGGCTCAAACGTGATTTATCACTAAAACAGAATATTTGATATTAACATACCCGCAAGTACATATTTGGCAAACACATAGTTTCGTCATCTTTTTAATAATCGTCGAGTAGTTAATATACACAAAGGTATTTCCTTTCCTGTTTTTATTCTTCTTCTGATTTTATTCGGCTAAACTATAAAAAAAGTGTTAAGAATAACACTAACACTTTTCTACGATGAAAAAGAACACAACCAGTGCGATTAATTATCGATCAAAAAAATCATTCAAAGTCAGATTAGTGTGACAGCCAACACACAAGAAATCTAACTTTAGTTGCCTAGTTATCCCCATCACTAGGGTACCCGCGAAGTATCTATTATTAAATCAGCAAGGCCAAATTAAGCATTCCAAATCATCTATAATTCTCTAATTACTATTCAAACGAGGCAATTTAGAAACAAATATCAAATCTGCATACAGATGTCGCTTTATTTTGATGCGAGTACTGTAGTTTCAAGCAATTTTTTGGGGACAGAAGCCCTCGTATCTGATAGAAATTGCTTTTAACTCCATTGCGACTATAACACGCCATACTACTATCATCTTTATCGTGAAAAAATATTTTCTTCAATTAAAACTCTTTGAATGAAATTATCTTATTTTTGAAAAAAAACAATTATCTCTCAATAAGCCGAAATTTTATGAGGGCTTTTTTCAGCGGAAATGCATCTATAAATCGGATGTATAGCTATAAAGTCACCGATTTCTTTCTCAATGAAAACAGGTTTTCATATGTTTTCTGGAAAACTGTTCGCAAGAGATCCTCTAGAAACCTTCTGGGGGGCCCAAATTCTATGTCTGTTCAAATCTGCGCAATCTTGTACCTATGTGTGTAGTTTTTAACTTGATTGAACTCAATAGTAATATTTCTTTTGGAAAGAGTCTAGTCCACTTGAGTGTAAAGTCTATTGATTTCAAAAAAATAATTTTTCCAGCAACGGTACAATATAAAACAAAAATCAATATTTCAAAAGTATGATGATTAGATTAGTCGAGTTAAACAATTGTTTTATCTTTCAACTCAAAAAACTAGATAACCTATAAAAATAGAGTAAATTTAGTTTGTTCTGTTAAATTACTGGTAACAGTATTGAAAAAAGTACTGAGTGCCATCTAAAGTGGCTTTATACCCTTGTGCTTTTCCCGCCACGAAGAGCAGACAGTGTGAGGATGAAAATCAGTAACAATTTCCTACAAAGTATAAAATGCTCCCTGGTAGAAATTGAGGGCGATTTTCAAAAAATCCATATATTTATTCGCCGGCGATTTTCTAGTTCAAAAGTCCACAGAAAATCAGCTTTGAATTTATGCAACAGTCAAATCTCAGTTTCTAAAAAATCGCCGGCGAATACAGATATGGATTCTTTGAAAATCGCCTTTCTTTTCCTATAATTTCCTTTTCTACTTTACTTTAAATGTAAAGATAGCAAACAAAAGGACTGAATATATGTATCAATAATCAATCTTGTGTCACATATCACAAATCGCTTCCAAGTTGGAAAAATCTCACTCGACAGTAACAGCAACATCTGTCATTTATACAAGGCAACTTTGAACATTTCCTTGACTTCACTAAAAATTCTTTAAATTTTTCCAATTCAAGATCAAACTCGTTGTTAATGGTAACTCATAATTTCTAGCAGCTCGAATTATAAGTGACTCAAAGACTATCTTTAATCGGCAACACTGGTTAGGAATCAACATTCGCTTACATCTTCATAAGGAATATGAAAATGCATCCGATAATACAAGTTTTTATTTGTTGCTTGCTCGTAAAATTTTTAATGTTCGAATGAATTTGTAAAAAGAGTACATTTATCTACTATCACTAAGTACACATTTTCTCTTGTTTCTCTTTTTTTTGAAGTCTTTTCTTCAGGTTTAGTGATGCTTAGGAACCATAGCAAATTCTGGAACAGAACGAAGAACGGAATGTGAACGGATGCATAAAGGTGATAATGATAGATTAAGAAAGAATGGTAGTAGAGGTAAACTCTTACATTAAAAAAGACGAACACAAAATTTTTTTAGAAACTTGGTTGACAGTCAATGTCATTATCAATAAAAATGTTTTATCGTCTCTTATTTTTCAAATATAATCGCTAATAGTCCATGGACTCAGCTCAGTTTGTAAACTAGATTGGTCACATGTCATCGATATTTACATTACAAAAAAAAGAGATAAGAAAGATTATAGTCGACTTTCTTGTCCTACTTCTTGCAAGATTCGTGTCTCTTGCCATTTTAGATAAGAATCTTTAAATTTGTCTTGATAGATCAGACAAAAGTCTTTTTTTGATTTTTTATTGATTTTTCATCCTTTTCGTGAAAGATTCTTGTCTAAAATGGCAAGATTCGTTGACCAATCACCAATTTGTTTTGTCGATTCCTGTGCTATATATAAGTTACATAATATAACTCAATACTATACATAGATATCTGTAAAAATTCTTTAAATCTTCCAAGATTGTTATCGAGAAACAATCGAGTCTTTATATGTGCCTGTGTTGGCATCAGAGCGGCTCGCTCCCACATATATGGAAAGAAAAGAAGACAAAAAATGGATTCTATATGCATTCTTTTTGTTTGCAAAATTTTTCTAAGAATTACAAGACAAAATTCTTGAAGGAAATTGCAGCCAAGAATCTTAAGATAAAAATATATGTGTAAACTATTTAACAAGATTCTTGGCTGAAATGACAACTCTAGTGAATGTACTTGGTACACGTACTTGATTACTTGATGGGTACTTGGGAAGTACGTGACAAGTTAAGCACTTCGCAAGTACTTGATCAAGAACTTGCCAAGTGTCGTTACTTGACTTGCTTCAACCAAGTACTTGGACAAGCCAGTCATCCTTTTCTTTTGCATTGACCACTTGTATATGAACACCGCAATATCAATCGTTATACACTTATAAATAAACTTATATACTTCCACTGAGTTGAACAAACTTAGTAGCCGTGCATATGTTTGCTATACAAAAGTAGAGTATGGCTGCAGAATACGTACACGTACGTACGAAATCGAAGAATACGAATACGTACGTAAAATACAAAATGAAGATAAATGGAACAAGTATCTGACTGCAGCTTTTGAAGTAAATTTACTTGCAATGTGTCAGTCGAGTACTTACATTTTACTTGTCGAGTAAATTTACTTGGAAAAGCCCACAAGTACTGTCCTCATTACTTAACTCAAGTATCAAATACATTCACTAGAGTAAGAGACAAGCATCTTGTAAGAAATAGAACAAGAAACTCGACCAGTGTTGGCGTGGTTAATAACCGTTATTTTCAGTCATTTTTCAGATCATATCTGATGGGACTGAGTTAGATATGTGTCAGCCAAACGCCTGCCATCTGGTCACGACGATAGATAGGAAGATTAGCGTTGCATTGCATTGCATTGTGAAAGATATTCCTGGCCGTCTATGACACACTTTAGAGATAGAGGTTACTATTGAAAGTAATAGTGCAATGACTTCATCTTTTTCTACACTATGATACATGTTCGAGTATTTTCGAGCCCCCAGAAGTAAGAGGATAGCGCAAAAAAAGATAATTACGGCTGTTGTGCTTTGAAATGGTTAATTTTTAAATACTATATTCGATATACAAAAGACCAAAAAGGCTCACTATATTATACATGTTTATATTTTACAAAAAAAAGATTGGTTACGACTAACGATTATAAAACTCTAAACATAGAGCAAACATAAAAAAAAAGTTATCGAATAAGGCGAAAGGAAACGAGAAACAAGTATATATATGTACAGTCTATGTCGTAAGGGCATTGTGAGTGAGATTTGTTAAATGAGAAGTACTATGTTGAAACTGTACTCATGAAATCGACTGCTAATAATAATTGTCCAGAAGCAACGTTGAGTATTTTTTTATTTAATTTTTCTAATATGATGTTTGTGAATCATCCGAATGGAATGTTAAAAAATAAATTGCAATCGTGACAAAAATAACAATATTTCCAGCCATAATGAAACCCATCGAGCCAGGAAGAATCTAAAATAATAATTATCTCATAAAATCCATTTCAAATTGCTCTCATTCGCATTAGTTTTAGATTCACTAAATCGATTACTGAAAATATTTTTATACACGTACCACACCAGTTCGGCATAATACAGCTGGTAAACCAAAAGCCGATACTACAATAATACCTATTAAAAATAATAGAGAAAACAATTTATAACATGGAAAAATCAATTTGAATTTTTTGTTCATACTAGTTAAGAACCACATTAAATCCATGCATGGACTTGACTCTCTATTATAACTATCCGTGCATTGGCGACCAATTGTCAATGGTATTGGACAAAGAACATAAAATATAATCACAAATGTACCCCACCAATTACTAAAAATAATAAAATATATTTTTAATATTGATTTTCTTTGACTACAATCAAAATGAAGATTATCTTAATTTGATGAAATATTTACTTACTAATGAGATAAAGCACAACCTAAGATGAGTAATGTAAAACCAATCGATGCTAAGAAAGCCAATAAAACCACGCTAAAAAATGAATAGCTTGTTATATAATCATTGTACTATCGTTATTCTAAATACTTGCCCTAAAATAGAAAAGAAAAAGATTGTAGATATGAAAAATTGAATTTACGTGATATGACAAACCTCGAATTCCTTGTAGAAGTCCCATGATTAGTATCAATAGTAAAACGAACTAAAAAACTAATGTATACTTTTTTATCTAAAAAAAAATGAATTAGAGAAATTTCCATTATCTGACGAGCATAAATCAATATGATCTTAGAAACAGATTGAAAAATTTTATTTTCTCTATTCTAAAACTTCATATTTGAAGTTCTACTTTTTTTTTAATAAAAAATACAAAAAGTACCTGTTCAAATACAAATAAAAAACAAACAAAAAACAACAACAATACAGAATTCTTTCTTACATTAATTGAACTTCACTCATTCATCTTCTCCTATACTTTTACTATCTTTTTACATCATACAATCAAAGAGAAACCAAGTGGATAGAATGAATAAAGAGATGAACAAAATTTAATTGTAAGACGATTTAACTCCATGGCCAAGGATTTACACGATTCTTACGCATAATAAATTTTATTTTACGTTCCATTTCATTGTTATAAATTTCATGAGCTCTAAACAGAGAAAGTATTTTAGTCTTTTCTTTTCACTTATTTGGGTATAGATTATGTCATGAACAACTAAATGTATGTACAGGAGAACACTAACATTTTAAAAGTACAACACGAATGGGCAACCTTGATTCAGAGTCACTTGATAAAGACTCGAATGATTTATTGTACGTAGCACACACTCTACGAACTAACTATCTTCTCTGCATCTAAGTTCATAAATTGACTGATGCTAATTTTTATATAAAAGAAAATAATGAATTAAAAAAGTTTTCCTACTTTTCGTAACACAAACGATTTCGTTTTCTAAACGGTTTTTCGTAACGATCCCAAAGTCGAGCGGTTTGAAAAACTTCTTCATTATTCAATACTCTAGAAAATAATAACAATAACAAATGAGATCAACAATTTAATTGTAGGAATGTGAAAATCATGTAATTACCGATTCAATGCACGATATGCTGTATCAACTTCATTATTTCTCACCCAGATAGTTCGTGCTAAAAATCGCCAATGATTTCCATACATAATACAATTCAAGATAAACAATTTATATACGATATCGGTCTCTTTGGTGTGAAAATAGATAATAATGATATACTGAAAAAATGAAAGAAAATAGATTTATTAATTATACAATTGACCAAAAAGGAAAAATAGACTAATATATATGATACAAATAGATCCAGAAAAAGATAAAATAAAGTAGGTCAAAATATCGCATTATGTAGAGAAACATTTGTTACGTATATCTGGATGAATAAACGGGGAACATTTTAACAAACTATTACAAATAGTTTTCAATCGTTTCAACCAAGCACCAATATTTAATATACAGCAATAAAATTTTTAAAAGTTCATATTTCTTTTACAATTATTTTTATAATTATTTTTATTTTAACGTAGAACTCAATATCTTGAACATTTCTCTATGAAAAAATGTGTTTCACAATTCTACGTGATACATTGTTACTGAAATATTAACATTTTAGTAAATGCGCTAAGTCCAGTTTAAAACTGGTGTATACCTTAAATGATGCTCTAATATTGTTTTTTTTTTGTTTTTGTTTCTACAATAAAAATTTAGAACCAGATTAGCTAAATGGTACTGTGTAACTTCTCAAAATATGTAAAAGATTTGATAAAAAGTGGCGTACAATGTGCAACTGTTTCAATGAAAAATAATAAACTTTAGTAATTTAATTAGGCAAAAAATACACACACAAAAAAGAAATGATCGATGAACAATATGAGATACAATACCTCTCAAAAAAAAAAAAAGTAAAGAATACATCTTCTACAAAAAAATATTTTATACAAAAGTAGAAAAAAGCATGCATATTGAATGACATATCAGGAAACTTCGTCACCTTTAATGATAACTACTATTAGCGAAAACTGTTTGTTTTCTCTAAGTTCTTGTAAAAAATGTAATATTCAGAAATGCAAAATATATTCGTGTCCTTTCTCATAGTACCACTGGTAATATTGTTCACTATTCTTGATCAACTGAGATATGTTATTCATTTATCTAAACATTCTTGCCACTGTTACAAGTCCAATAGTAAAAACACTTGCATACAGCGAATATTTAATAAATACATCGGGATTATAGTAAATATCTTGAAAATGTTTTAAATTAGGATATGTGGCTAAATAGCCTAATTTAATATAGATATTTGTCTGATCATCTTGTTGTTGTGATTGTCCTGTATAAGGTTCGAGTGTTCGTGTTTCATTTCCACGTTGAAATAAATAGGCAAACCATGATGTTGATGGTGATCGAGGCAATATTTCATTTGTATTATTATTATTTCTTATAGTGTTTGTTGTTGTTATGGTTGTTGCAGCTGAATAATCAATAGGTAATGATAATTTATTTTGTTTACAAAAAAATTCCGGTGTGATGGGATAATCTTGTTTTAAATATGTTTGATCCGATTTTGTACAAATAAATAAACATGGTAAATGTTTTGATTGATCACGATAATATTTTAAATAAATATTGGCAACATATCGAAATGATTTAATTTGAGTACGATCATAAAGAAAACAGACAATATCCGGTTGCCGTTGAAGAACTAAAAGACAAACTGTATATTAATTTTTCTGTATAAAATAAGATGAAAAAACAATAACAACAATTTCCATGTATTACCTAATTGTTGCTGATGAATTTCTTTTAATATAAGACATTTTTGTTCTTGTAAAACTTGAATTAAATCAATTGCATATGTTTGTACTGTTGATGTTGATGTTGTAGTATTTATATCAAAAAATTGTTTAACTTTTTCATTTAATTTTATTGTTTTTGTTAGATTAGCCGTTGCCACTGATACAAGTTCATAATTATTGTATGTTGAATAGATTGACTTTGAACAAAGACGTTTGAGAAATGCTGTTTTACCTACTGTTGACATACCATATATATAACATAGATATGTTGATGAACGTTTTGTCATTTGAAATGCATCATACATTTGTTGTTGTGGATAAGAAAAACCAAACATAGAAAGAAAATCGTATGCTCGTATAGGATTAAAATAAGTTAAATAATGCCATTGTGATAGAAAACCTTGAAGAGTTAATGATAAACTTGATGTTAAACGAATATAAATATTGTTTTTTATATTATTGAGAGATGTGAATGTTGGAAGTATATCGACAAGTTCAAACATTAAATTAATTTCATCTAGGGATAAATAACCATCATTATCAAAATCAAAACGATAAAATAAATGTGTTAGAAAAGCCATCGATAATGGAGATAATTCCACAATGGGAAATTCATATGGATCATCTACAAATCAACAACAAAAAACAAAAACAAATCAAAAGTGATAATAAATCATCAATAGATGTTTCTTACCAATTGCTGGTAATTGTCTTGGTGTGGGTATAAATAAATCTAATTTTCTATTATAATTAAATTTTTCTAATATTGTCCAAATTGTCTCATAATTTCCTTTATTCAAAAATAATCGAAATAAACAACAGAAACCATCGAATGTTAAGGAATCAAATCGAAGTCCATTTGAACATTGTCGTTTTATTTCATTTTTTAATGATTGAAATTCGCTAGTATTCGTTGACGATGATGATGATGATGATGATGCTGATGATGATGCTGATGATGATGCTGCTGATGCTGATGATAATGATGATGTAAAACAGTAGATTTGTAGCTGTGATAATTCTCGATCGTTTAACAATTGATCATTATCTAAATCACATATAAGAAATATTCTATGTAAACACTGTTTAAATTTTGACGTTAACTGTTTTGAATTTGTTGTTGACAAAATGAGATGTTGAGTAGGATATAGAACACATTTTTGAGCAGAATAGAATAATTCTGATATATTTTTCATTGTTTTTGTCGATGTTTCTATACATAATTCTATTTCTGAATACGTAGACATTATCGATGTTAAAAATGTCGACTGTTCATATTGAAATTCATTCTGATATAAATCAAATTTATTTGCAACTAGTATTATAGGAATTCGATCATGTGGATCTCTAAAATTTAAAATGAATATTAATACTAACAATAAGTAAATTAAAAATCAAATGTACTATTAGATAAAAAATGTTGACTACAATAGTTAGCGAACGTATGTATATCTTCTTAAAAACTAGTCTATAATCGTCTCATATGAACTCTACCTACGTATCTGTAGATAGTGAATTATAATTACTCTTACGACCAGTGGTTTCAATTGTTTTTGATCAGTGTAGTGGAAGTTTTCTGACAGACAGTCTTCTCTAAAAAGTTAACGGAAGTGAAATATTTATATGCGTATGCCAATATTTGATAGACGATCGAAATTGAAAAGACTGTCTGTCAGTTATTTTGACAAGTAACTTATTGTTTGTTGAATGTCCTACAAGTTTATCAGGTCAATTACTTGCAAGATAATCGTGAACAACTGTTGTACTTATAAAAAAAAGTTCAATAAATTTTTCTCCAAACAAAAATTCTAAAAATCTGGCGGACAGTGTCAGTACGTAGGGTGTCTAGATCCTACACTTTCTTATCCTAATTGGAAATTCTACTGAGAATCTATCGGCCTTGTCTCTTAAAAATAATTGTTAAATAAATGATTGATTTAGTAAATCTACTTACTGTGTAGATGTTCGTAATCGTCTAATTAATGGCAACCATAACGTTGTCAATCTTTCTCTCGTTTTAGAATCATTTAAGGCGTAAACAAGACAAATAACATGTGCATTATTGATCGATGTTGATAGACCACATGATTGTTGAACATGTGTACTTGTATTCATATTTGCCGTCGTTGTAGCTGAATAAGGATCATCATTTGATACTCTTGTTAAATATATTTCAATTTCATCGAGTGTTTGAGGAATTGTTCCACAATAGTCCATAATTATTGTTGGAATTTTCTCTTTTGTTACTTCAGGTGGAATAGAAATATCATCTGTTTTAAAATAATGATGACTTTCATTTGTTGGTCTATTAGTTGAATCAGAAAATAAATCAGATGGCACAACATCTTCACTAACTAGTGAATAAATTAATGATGTACGACCAACGGATGAATCACCTAGTAATAATATACGAATTTCATTCATATTTGAATCCATCTAGAATAACACACAACCATAAAAGAGAATATTGGTAGATTATAAAGTAGCCCTTTGAAAAATGATTTTTAATGAAAATTAATGAATGAAAAGTATCAATATCATAGAGCACTATGCTCATCGTTTAGTATGACCTATGTATTAATGATGGTCACATTAAACCTTGCTAACCATTTATGGACAAAATAAAAATACGAAAAAAAGTCGAATGTTATGACCAATTCTTCGTCATAACCTTCATACAAAAGAACAAGTACTGGATATGAACTATAAACAACACTGATATCACATCAAAGGATCATAGTAAATTTGTTACATTTCATTATGGGAAATAATAGCCACACTAAAGTCACTCTTGGTTGGTCGATATATTCGCTAACGTTGTTTGATATTATTGAAATTAATCGTTACCACGCGTATAAATAGCATGAATGGATTCTTGATGTAAATTAACACCATTTAAATATTATGATAATCAATAGTCTTCAACAATATTGACAGAGTCGAATGCTAAATGAAAGACAAAATAAAAGAGTAACATTTAATTTCAATGATTTGGAAATTGCATGCAAACATTTTCTAATATTTTCCAATAATAGTTGAAATTTCTTCGAAAATGTGACATTGAAACTGTTGTATCGAACATACTGTCACATTCTGATCGTTAATTGTTATATGTCATAAAATTAATCCAATCATTTTGTATTTGCTGTGGGAAAATGAAGCATGAAGGTAAAATTCAAATAACCAATACATTATATCTTGGATTTAAGATATTACGTAGCAGGTATTAAATTCATCAGTTCAATTTTAAAGTCAAATTAGTCAAATCGACTAGTATTACAACACAATGTTTATTGCAGTTATTTTGTAATAGTAGCCAAAACCAAAAGAAATTATATTGATCTATTGTTATTGTACTGGAAGGTATTGATTAATGAGTGTGACTAAAAGTAAAAAATTAAGCAATGTTGTCGAATACCATGAGCGATACAGAAACGAATAATAAACAAAACGTACAATATCAGACTCGAGACTAAGAATAAATCTACCTACTATTGTACCTGTAATACGGTCGTAATATCTCATCGGGTATGATACGCAGTAGTCGATATTTTGAATATGCACAATTCACCTTAGTGTCAGATATCATTAGTTCAGATACGCAGTGGTCGGTATGTTTGTAGGTAAATAAGAACAATAATAGGAGATAATGAACAATTTTGTCATATTTCATAAAAAGTGATGAACATCGACGTTGTCAAATAAAACTGTCAACATATCATTTATCGGTATCTGTAAAAGAGAAAAATTATTCTGTCATAAAACAAGTCAATTTTTATCGTGTTTGTTTAGCTATAAAACGATTTTACATTCGAGAACTAAACAATATGTAATAAAAGAATTTTCATTTAAGCAAGAACAAAGAAATAGAAGACCAAATGACTTTATTTGACAAATAAAATAAAAGCGAAGAAGCAATAACATTCATTTCTCATGTTAGTCGGCGGGAAAAGAAAGGAAGAAAAAACGTTCATTTGACAATAAACAACTATTCTTTACGCTTTTTATATGAAAGAATAACAATAAGCAAACGGAGAGAAAGCATGAATTAAATATCAATCGCATATTAGAAGAAGAAAAAAATGACATCGAAAATTGAAGCAAAAACCAAAAAAAAAATGAAAGTAAAAAACGAAATGTTTCATACAAGAAGAACGTGGATAACTATCTGTTGATATATTCAAACACATTATATACGTATTTACAAATCCCGATATATATGTTGAGAAGACAGGATATAATTGAGAAAAGAAAAATTAAAATTACACAAAATAGAGATATCTGCTACATTGCATTAAATAAAAACAACAGTGTATATCATGATTGAGATAGACAAATCAAATAAACAAGAAATTTCTCGTCATTTGCGCATGTTCATCACCAACAAATCGAGAAATAAAGAAAATCTTGATTTAGATTGCAAATTATCTCCAGTCTTTGGAGATTCTCAAATTTGATCGAAAATGTATTCAAACAGCAAACAAAAAAGCCCCAATAAAGACTAAATCATATTCTCTGGACAATTCTATACATTCCTTATAAACCACATAAAATTCGATTTCAAACAACTCGGTATATGCAATAGTTTACTTTCCATCAAAAATATGTCTTAAATTAAAATTTGTCACTTTGAAATCATTTTTTTTTCCACAAGAAAAGAGGGAAAATTCATTGATTACATAACATTGATTTGCACAACACTACTATATTCATTTATTGAATCCTTTCTAAATACTCACAATAATATTTGAGTTTTTAGATCGAAAAGAAGAAAAAAAAAAATCAGAAAAATAAAGTTTAAACAATACAACTATACATGAAGACAGCAGTGGATAGAATTTACAAATAAGGTCAAAGTATATCGACAATTTTAGAGAAAAGAAAGTGAAATATATGAATATATATATTTCTACTATACATGTACGGATTGAAAATAATCATTTGCTTTAATATATGAAAGAAAAAGAGAAAACAAATAAAATTGAATCTATACAATCATTGTCTTATTCTGATTTGAATTTAATTTTGATGTTGTCGTCGTTGACGTTAAAATTTTTGTTGATCGTGGTGATTCGTTGTTTGTTGATATTGGTCGACGTTGTGTTGAAGCACGATGAGGTCTAAGAAAAGCACGTTTAACACGACTAGCAAATGTTTGACGAGTAGTTACAGTGGCGGTGGACGCAGAAGTAGAAGTAGAGGACGAATGAATTAATGGTTTGATTTTTGATGAAGAATAATTCGATAAAAGAGTAGAAGAGGATTTCTAAAACAATGTTGAAAATCATTGTCATTAAATGTGCTAAGTCATTAATTTATCAAAGATTGTTTTAGAGCACAAATTTTACGAACCTTTTCAGTTCTTTGTCTAGTTGGTGTATCACTGCTAGGTTTTCTTATTGATGATTGTGTTCGACTAGGTTTTGTCGTTAATGAAATTGTTTTTCTAACAATCACATTGTCTGTACGAATATTTGAAACACTACAAGACTTCCGTCGACGTGTAGAAACAGAGCGCTGATCATCGTCCCTGGTCATTGACGTATTCATCGAAGCTGAACGAGTTCGACGTAAACATTGTGGTGATTGTTGACTAGAATCAGATGATGATGAAAATGCTTTTGATGGATGAGTATCATTTGAAGATGAAAAAAGAAATTTGGAACGACGAGATGAACAACGTTTTGTTGAATCTAGAACAAAAATATTATTGTTAGAGGTTATCTTTTAGTAAAGACTTGACAAATCGAATTTTACCTTGACTAGACAATGTCATTTTTTCTGTAATTGGCTCATCAATGTCCATTTTTTGTTGCTGTTCTTCATCATCATCTCCATTCATATTGATTGCTTCTGTATCTCTTGAACATTCATCAACTTTCATTTCTAAATCATTATCATCTGCACTTGTTGATTCCTTCTGAGATGGCTGAATTTCACTATTGGTCTCGTCATAATCGTCATCATTAATATCAGTTACCGATGCCACATCACTACTGCCAACGTCATTTATCTCTGTTTCACCATTTAATCGTTGTGAACCATTTTCTTTTTGGTTTGTTTTTATTAATTTACGACGTGGAGTATTTTGAAGTATTGATGAACCATCGTCAGATGCAGGACGTTTAGGCGTCTAAAGTGACAAGCATTTTTATAACAAAAAATAATTTCTTTAAACAAAACAGAAAACCATTATAAAACGGTGAAAGTGACATATTGTGGCTTAATCACTGAAACGCTTCACGGAAAAGGATTTCATTGATATTGAAGGACACTTCGGCTAATTTACTTCGTCAAGTAAAAGAAAAGTCAAAAATAAAATTACTCTTCTTCTGATTACCCTTAATGGTGTTGTTGCTGATTGTTGTCCATTTGATATTGGTATTAAAATATGATTTTCACTGTGTTTACTTGCTGTACGATGTAAAACAGGTTTATCATTTGTATGCTTTGGTGGAGTAGAAAACATTGTACCACTTTCAATATCAACAGTATCATCCGAATAAACAGAAGCTGTTGCTAAACATGAATAAACACAATCTTCAATATAAGCGCCAAGAAAAAACTCTTTATAGGGTTTACATACAAGATGAAACAGAACAATGATTAAATTGTTTCTTTTTCATAACAATACAATCGCTGAATGGTGGTCCAGGTTGATCAAGCATTACAGTGACACATGTGACATTATCCGCTCTTAGCATACGTTCACGCCAACATGTTAACGATTTTTGAACAAGTTCATGTGACGGATTACGAAACGGACGTTGATCATCATCCTAAAAACAAAACAAAACAAATTAAAATCTTCAATTTGTGATATTTTATATCAATATTCTACTTTTGTCTCATATCCAAAGAAAGACGTTGTTCAACCGATGCACAAAATCTAATAACTATTTTTAATTTAGATAGTTCATATACGATAATTATCTATCAGAATATTTTGATTTAAGCTTTAATCTTGAATCAGAACGAAATCGAGAATATAAATTCCCATTATATCATTCTGAAACTTAAATTATCAAAACAAAACATCAATCTTTGTATGGAGCTAGGATCGAACACACGAACTTGACCTTTGTAGAAAAACTGTAAAATCAACTTCGGTGTACATTCCTATATTCTGCATTATGATTGAAGTTGTGCAATGACTCGATGAATATTTTACCTCTGCTTTCAAAATCATTTCTTCTGTTTTGACATCACATGATCGAACAATTTCTACAGCATCTTCTGGTGTCATCATATTCCATAGGCCATCTGATGCTAATATAAGGCAACGATGCTTGAGCGGGTTTATTTCAATAACAGCCAATTCCGGTTCGGGTGAAACACTGTACAAATTTGTTTGGCTATTAAAAGACCATAAATCACCTAATGCACGAGATACGGCTAAAATGATTAGAAGAAAATTACTAGAATTGCATTTATCACCAAGAAATGGATGAGAATACAGACAAAAGATAATGAGAGAATTTGCCCTTTTTAATGTTGACCGAAACGTTGCACAAAGTTTACACATCCCTCGATGTAACGAGAAATGTGTTAATGGTAATAAAGTTACATTTTGGGAGAAATGATAATTGAGACTTTTCTATTCAAATTCAGTCATTTCTAAAATCCTCTTTTTCTAGTCCTCTGAGTAACTTTACAAGAAAAATCCTTAAAATCCTTGAATACTGCTGAAACTACTATTAGTTCTCAAAGCAGATGACACACTCTAGTCAAGCTGACGTATATCTCCATATTAAGTTTCTTTTGAAAAAACTTGTTATTCCGATAGACAGGTCAGGTGATAAATACAGAGTGGAAAACAAGTTCTCAATTCAAAGAAGTTACTCTTGTTTTCTCAAATTCTTCTAAATTGTACATTTTACTATATATCACAAAAATTTACCAAGAAATGGTATTTGTTCGTATTCAGCTGTTGTCGATTGCACTTGAGAATTAACTGTTGTTATCCTATGAGAATGATGTGAATGATGTGAATGACGATGATGATGATGGTGACTGTGTGAAACTTTTGGTCGATTCCAAACAACTCGATGAACGCCCGCTTTGCATAATACATTTCCACCACTATCTCGAATACGTTTTAATTCTGATGGATCTTCTGGTTTGTGATCTTTTGTTAACCGCGTACATTGCCAAGGTTTATATAACGAATCACCAATACCCAACACAATAGCTGAATCACCCACATGGCCAATATAAAGTTTATTACCACGAACAAATACAACACTCGCTGTGCAACCTAAATACACAAGAACACTTAAAAACTGCAAGAACATACTAATTTCAACATTGGATACTGGTCTTTTTCGTTATTAAAAAACATCATATGTTTCTCTTTCTCTCTAATCAATCTGATCGATCGATATTATCTTCATTTTTTAAAAGATTTAAAGAATGTTTTCTTAGTAGTCTCTTAGATGAATTCTTTTTTTCTTACCCGATGTACTAGGTAAACCGGATGATGTTTTTGTCCATTTTGGTAAATCATTCCACATATCACTATGACATTGTAAAAATCCTTTTCTAATTGCACTTAAAATTTTATCATCAATTTCCTTCTCTGATGTTACGGTTGTTTCTGATGTCATTTCATTATTTGTGACAGTTGACGGGGTTGAAATTGGCCAAAAATCATCTTGTTCCAGAATTCGTTGACATAAATTTTGTCGAGCAAATTCTGCTGCTTCTTTTCCGCCATGTCCATCAAATATTCCGAAATAAGCTAATGATATCGGACTTTCTTTATCATTTGAATTCAAACGTTGTAAAGCAATAGCATACGTATCTTCCATATATTTTCGCCCACCTGAATATAAATGAAAAAAATTAGAATTTTATTTGTTATAAGAACTTGAAATAAATAATAGCATGTTGTTTTGTTTCTATAATCTCTTATACAAAACAATAGCAGTTTTGGATAGATATGTACTTTACAGACATTCTGTAGTATCGTCAAATGAAAGTCAAAATGTTTTCGCAATTATACATCACTTTTCTTTAATAAACCCGTTAACCACAGAAAGAAGAAACCGACGTATAGATCGATTTCTTCTTTTCTTCTTCTGTGGTTTCCACAAAACGTACCTTGATTACTATTCGTAGTAATTCGTAGATTGACTTGAACACAATCATTCATGTTTGCTTATTCTCTTCAATGAATAAAAAGAAAAAGAAAGACTGGTTAAATTTATACATATTACACATCACTTAAAAAAGCGATTCTTTCAGCTGAAAACAAATTCTCGTTCTTCCATTAGTCGTTTTGAGTCTAGTAAAAAATAAATATTAGTAATTGTATCTCATCTAAACGTTATTGACAAGACAGAAAAGAAAAAAATTGCTCATTTCATTCTCTCTATACCTAAACGTTTTCGATTGGAATGGTAAAATATTTATCAAAATAAATTCTGATAATTATCTTGCAATATATCGAGAGTTAGTGTATTTTTTGATTATTATTCTTCTTTTTTTTCTGAAGTAAAACTTAGTTCGATGAGTCATTTAGCAAAAATAACTTTCGTCTATTTGACCAATCAGCGATACTTATGTACAATACATAAATGCATATAGCATGTAGATAACATCGAACGAAGAGACCAAATGTTTCTTTTTCATTGGGAGATTTTTAGAAAGAATATAAAGCAGGCATCGACATCGGTAACTATATCTGCACAATCTGTAACGTTTCGGGACAGTGGAGTAGTACCTATATATCTAATGTATAATCAACCTTCTTTCGAAAGATGCTGTACTAAATTTACGCCATATTCACATGTATATCTTTTCCCGTCTGAGCTAGCTTCTTGCATTAGTACCTGAAACAAAAATAAACGAACAATTTACAAAAAATCTAATTAAGATGAGAGATGTGCAGATGAATGCGGTTTTAGCATTTTTTGCATTCAATAGTATCACTAATCTTATCATTATTATATGGTTTTCAGTTCTTGAAAGCGATATGGAGGCGTATTTATACTGCTTCAACTTTGAATAAATATTAAAATGACAAGTTTATTTTTCTTTAATATTGAATAGTGTAGACTATTTTATTTGCGTGCAATACTACATGAATTAGAACTTGTATATCAAGTGATGTCTTCCAAGTACAATAGTGCTGAAATATTATTTTTTTAAAGATAAACCCATTAGATCTGGTGAATCCTCTATGAATCCTTTTGTATATCAATATCCTACTACACCATCTCTCCAACAACCAAATGCAAATATGATGATGCATATGAATAATACGACTTTCTTCCCACAAGACGGTATTCATCTACAGCCAAATACTTACCCCGTAAGAAAATGAAGTTTTCTTTTTAGCTGTTTATTTGTTTGATTTATAATCATTTTCAGACGCCTGTCCATGCTCAAACTTCGTCACGAGTATTTCCACAAGCGAACATGTGAGTAAAACATGATAATTTTTTTTGCATAGATTGTTTCAGGGATTGGAAAAATGTTTTAAATCTTTCTATTCTTAAAATAATTTTCAGTTACGCTGGTTTGTTTAGATCAACAAATGCGAATGAAGATCTGATTATGCGAAAAAAACACGAACAAAAACGTCGTTTTCAACAGCATAAACACACCGATGCCAATTCATTGATGCAAGCGATGTTTGAAGATCTCCAAATACAAAAGTCGACAAATGGTAAGAAACGAAGTATATTCTCCATGACTAATCAATTTCTGTGTCTTTTAATTCAGAAATGAAAAAACCAACACAAGTTCCACAGACAGGACTGATTAATGAAGAACTCACAAAGCAAGACTTATGTCAAACACAAGATCATCAGTTGAAACAACATACATCTCAACCGTTACCAGGTAAACGAAAACAAACATTTATATCTGCTCGTATGTATTTATAAACGTTTTTTGTTTTGTTTTAGAATTAAGCGGTGTAATATCGAAATGTTCTGATTTACGTCAAACAGTGAAATTGTTACCAAACCAGTCCACAGCAAACACAACTTTATCTTCTCCACAAGAATCTTATTCTCAAACAAAACTATTTCAATCATCCGAACGTGCTGCTGATTGGTCTCATGTGAACGAGGATATCAATGATCTATTTGTAACCACAGCGTCAAATGAAGTGGTATTATCACCCAATTCTTCTAATACTCAGTTTAATTTTCAAGTTCAGTCCGACTCATCAACAGTACTTCCAAATTCATTCCAAACGGCAAATTCACAGTTATCAGTTAATAACAATCATTTCAACGCAGTGTCATCATTTCCACAGCCTATCACTTCTCGCAAGTGTCTTCTAATTTTGCGAATGATTTCTTGACTTTGTGTATATTTTCTGTTTAGAATCTCAATTTCATTATCCTTCTTGGTGTTACGATGATGATCATTTGCCCGTCGTTTATCAACATGTTTTCGAAGCATCTTATGTGGATAATTGTATTCAAACACATCTATTATATCCAATTTTATTACTATCAGGATTATCAAAAGAGAAATTAAGTTACATATGGTCCAGTGTGAATTGTCATCTACCCGGACAACTAATTAAAGAAGAATTATATTGTGCTCTAGCGATGATTGGCTTAGCACAACAGAATATTAATGATATTATTTTTGATCACTTATATCATCTACAACAAATACCTATTCCATATTTTCATTTACCCAATTCTCAACAAGAAAAGCCTCCTTTGGTGGAGCAAAAAGAAGGTATTCTACTATATCTGTCAAACAGCAGCTTTTATCCAGAAGAATCTCTCCATTGACCGTAGTTAGAGATGTTAGCTGATCTACAACTCGTTTACGGCGTATGAAAGCTGAACTACATTCGGCAACAGAAGCTAAATTTGACTGAATTTCTTGTATATTAGTCTTTCCTGAATGAAGAAGATTGATTCCAGCCGAACGATAAGGAAGCTTTAGTCTAATTTTTATACTAATTTTTATAACCGTTAGATAGGTTTTATACATAACAAAGTACTGTCTTTCTTGTAGATTCTCCGCGCGAAGAACCACAACAGGATTCAGAGGTACCGGTTTCTATTGAAAAATCATTACCGTCAACAATAACAGTGAATATGACTAATATCATACCAGTAACAACATCAAATAAAGATGATTTTGGTGGGTTTCAAGAATTTATTGATGAAAGAGAGGCAACTACCGTCTCTTCTGTGATTGATGATGACAAATACTCTTTATTCAAACAAAATAATTCCGTTATTTCGTCAGGTGATCCGTATTGTCTCTTTAAATTAAGTCAGACTCCAACTCAATTATCGAAAAATGTTGTTGACGACCAAAATAAGCAATTTACAATAATTTCTTCGGCAAACAATTCTATTGACATTCACCAAGATTCATATTCTCTGTTTGAACCACAGGAGAAAATAAGTGTTAAAATTGAAGATGACCTATCGAATAATAAAATGGAATCAGATCCATATGCTGCATTTCGCGAAGGACAACAGCAAGAGATTATTGAAATTGACAAATCTGACAATATTTCGTGGTTAGAATCTGAAAATGAAACGATCGATACGACTGATCGAGATGCTCCGCTCCATCAAGAAGAGGAAACTAATAATACTCTTGTTAATTCATTAAAACCGAACCTTTTCATTCAAGATATCATTAAAAGTGAGCCACATTCGTTGTCTGATTCGAATAACAAATCAAACTCTTTTTCCAACGTCGCGGCAGCCAGTGTATCAACATTTTTTTATGAACCGCCTGAATTAATTACCACGAACAGTAATAATGAAGAAGAAGAGGATTATATTCCATTCCAGCATAATCACGACGAAGAAGATGAAGATAACTATCTGCCATCAATTGACAAACAACAGCCATCATTTTTAAATGCTAGTGTAAACAATCAATCATCTGATACTCAATCTATCGCCAGTCTTGATTTACCACATAATTCAACAATTCAGAAAATAAGAGAAGATGATCGAAATAATGTTGTTGATACAGCATCATCCATGACGAATATAAACGATGATAATAGAAGTATTAGTTCACAAACATCAGAAATAATTAAACAGCAACCAAAAGAAGGTATGAACATACAAAAGAGACTAAACATCATCTATTACTAATACTTTATTAAACATATCTATACAAGACTGTTAGCGATTACAGTCTAGTAATTCATCACAGCAACAGCAGGAAATTGACATCCGACAAAGTGATCAAATGAACGTTTTAGAATTCATTTCGTTCATTAATCAGTAAAATTAATGATTATGAATTTACAGCCTTTTTTCCTTTGTTTTCAGATGATGTTGCTCATAAATTAACAACATGGTCATTCTCTTCCTACGAGAATTATGATATGACACTTGATAATAATGATGATGGATCACCTGCAAAAGTATGGCTACCATGTTTACAAAAATGTAGATCAGTATTATCTAGAGCCAATGAAATATTTTCATCGATAAAAAGTTCATCATTATGTGTAGAAATATTACAAAATTCACGAACAATCGACTATGTTTATCAATTACAAGAAATATTTTATTTAAGTAAACGAATTATTATGGCGATTCAACATTATGGATTAATAACAAATGAATTGAATGACATTTCAAAGCAAATTATTGCCATTTGGACAAATTTACAAGCATTTTTTTCGAATGCAAATTTACAACTGGTAAGCTTTTATAAAAATAAAGTAAAAAGAATTTACCTTTTTTTTTTTTGTCTGAGATCAAAATGATCACAAGAGTGTATTTCCATCTGTAGTTCATTTTCATCATCGTTGTTGTCACTCACACTACTCATATGTTTTCTCTTTTATTTTAGCCGAATGAAGAATCAATCAGTTATACGTCTGCAATGTGTGCGAATACTAACGATAATGATTATTGTCATATTTGTTTAATATCATCAAATATAGATCTGTTATACCCTTCAACTTATTTAAATTTATTTAATACATCAACTATAACATTTGCTGGCCGTTTATATCATGCATCGTGTGCAAATTTTTATATAAATATGATTGATTCTAGTCTACCGTCATTAACATCATCTCAGTTTTCCTGATTCATTCACTAATTTTTCAAACATATTTTTAAACTTACACACTTGGTTATTGTTGATTTCTCTACCAAATATTTGTATTAATTTGGTATTGGCTCTTTCTATCGATTATTAAAGTATCTAGAAAGTTTTATTTTTTATGTCAATTATCCGTTCAGTTGCTTGATTCTCATTTTGATTCTCTAAGTATGTTTTATTATAGAACAGGAGAAGATCTAATAAACAACAGTTGATAATGAATTAGACAACCATTTCTATGTTTATTTGCACAAAGCTACTACATCTTTCGTTGATAATCTTTTTTTGCACGATGGTTTCTTTCTGGCATTTAACGTTAACACATATTGTTTTGGTGATGGTTGAAGGCTTTTTTTAGATCGTTCTTTCTCTCATTTATTGTACTAATATATTCTGCTCATTTTTCTTGTCCATCTTTTCTTTTTTTTTTCTTTTATAAATCAGTGATTTTTTTTGTCTTTCTACTAGAGTGTATGGTTATATGTTTCCATATAGTTTGTTTTTATTTATTTCTAAAATATTTAATGGATATTTATAGTCAACTATTTTATTAGATTTTTTTTTTGTTTTTCCATTGTTTTGGTTAAAACATATATTTATATCTGTAAAAACGTGATAATGTAATTATGAAGGATATCTTTCTTTTTATTTAACTTCATTCTATAAATTTAGTGGGAGAAGTTGATATAGAAGTTTATGTAACAGAAGATGCTGAGAAATATCATTACTTTATTGCATCTTTATCCATGTGTAAAAGTTCTTTTTAAACAGAATGTGTTTACGACAACAAGTAACGGTGACTTTCATTTAACAAAGTTGTCAGTTCTTTATTGTTTATAGTTTGAGGACTTTTCTAATCAAAAGACATTAAGGAAATGATGATACGAAGAAAAAAAACTATTTATGAGTAAACAATGATTGTATCATTGAGGAAAAATATAGTCGTACTTTTGATCTATTTTTAGATCTACAATGAGTCACGAAATTATTCATTCACCTTAGTTTTCGCCTTTTCTCATTGGTATAGTTAAAACAAAATTGAAAAAAGATTTAAAGAGCTGAAACAGTTTCTAATCTGGCATGATGGATATCAAGAATTCATCGAAATTGGTTGTAGCTCGGCTTTCTGAAAAATTCAAACTATGCGCATTGATAAAGATTATCCAAGTAAAAATTGATGTTTATGCTTGCCTCGCTTCTGTTTAGTTTTAACTGATCCCTCCTCTTCATTTGGATGTCTTTTAAAAATGAATAGATTAGAATCAAACTGAGTCCTCTACTTTAACTGAAAAACTTTTTGTATGGCTATCGATGAGGGAAATTGAAAACTAAGTTGAATGAACAATTTTGTAATTCACTGTGTTTTCTGGAATGGGACTGTTACTTGTTTCCTTTCTCTTTACTCTGTAGAATATTCTCAAGATCTCATAGGTCTGCTTAGGAATAAAACTTTATTTTCGTCTTCTAGTCTAGTGGAACGGGACTAAAGTGACTGAGGAAATAATCATTTCATCGTGTTTTTTCTGTTATCTCCTTTAAGATCTATCAGTTTCTTTTCGACGATAAAAAGTTCAAATTAACCATGGAAATAAATGAACAAAGTCTAGAAGTATTAACAGCTTATTTGAAACAAACATTGTCGTCAAATGCTGATGAAAGATGCGGTGGTAAGTTGAAAAACAAGGTAGAAATATCTCTGGCAAAAGATTACGTATATTATGTACTTCTGTACTTTTGTTTTTATTGTTTAGCTGAAAAAATGTTAAAACAAATTGAACATAATGAAAAATATGGTTTATTATTATTGACATTATGTGATCGTGAACAAACACTACCAGAAATTCGTAAAGCAGCTGCAATTACATTTAAAAATTTTATTAAATTTAATTGGCCATCAAATGAATCATCATCACTTATTTCATTAAATGATCGTAATCAAATAAAACAACATATTATTGATTTAATGACAAAATCACCAGAACAAATTCAAAAACAATTATCTGACTCAATATCTATTATTGGTCAAAATGATTTTCCTGATCACTGGCCACAATTATTAGATATTATGTGTAAACAACTACAACCTCCAATTGTTTTTCATAAGGTCAATGGTGTTTTAAAAACAGCACATTCTCTCTTTAAACGCTATCGTTATGAGCCAAAATCAGATATATTATGGATGGAAATTGCACAAGTTCTAGAAAAATTTGCCCCAACATTTACAGAATTTTTCAAAGTAAGTAAACGTTTGCAGAGATTATTCTACAGTCTTTTGTGGCTATTGGTTGATCTAATTATTGTTATTTTTTCTCTTTTTTCTTATTGTAGTCGTTAATGGCCTATATACCTCAACAAGAAACGAATGTTACAGAAATTAAAATCATTTTTGATTCGTTGCTGGTTATAACAAAAATATTTTACGATTTAAATGCCCAGGTTTGCTTTTAGTTAAATTTTTTTAGTTGTTTTGACTGACAACTTTTATTTCTAGGACTTACCGGATCATTTCGATGATAATAAAAATGTATATTTGAACAATTTCTTATTATTATTAGCTTATGATAATCCATTACTTCATTCCAATGTAAATATGTGCAATTTTTAAATTTTGCTCTGATTTTATGTTAACAGTTTTTTATTTGTTTTAGTCAGATGATGCTGGTTTACTCGAACAAGTAAAAACGGAAATTTGTCGTGCTGTGGCTTTGTATGCTGATAATTATAGTGATGATTTTAAACCATTTACTCAACAATTTGCATCAGCTATATGGTCATTATTAACAAAATTGAATTCATCGCCACGCTATGATGATGTACGCTTTCTCTTCCTATTTATTTTTTTGTTTTTATTTTTAATTCATCATTGTTTTTTTATAATTTTAGTTAGTTGGTACAGCAATGCGTTTCTTATCCACCTTGGCCGCTCGAAGTCATCATTGTGCAATGTTTCAAGGTGATGATATTCTGAAAACAGTTTGTGAACAAGTAATACTACCAAGTTTATTCTTAAGAGGTATGAACGTAATTCTTGTGTTATTACTTCGAAAGTAATTCATTTCGTTCATCTTCTTTTGTAGAATCAGATATAGAAGAATTTGAAGATAATCCAGAAGAGTATATTCGTAAAGATATTGAAAAATCCGGTAAAATGATAGTGTAAAAATGTTATTTTTTATTTTTTAAAATGAAATTTATATTTTAGATTTTGCTACACGTCGTCGTGCTGGCTGTGATTTTTTACAAGCATTATGTATATTTTTTGAAGCACAAGTGGTTGCGATCTATAGTCACTATATTGATTTGATGCTTCAAGTGAGTAAAATGTTAGATTTGTTAAATTATGTAAATAAATGATGGTTATTTTGATTTGTTTAGGAATATGTTCAAGATCCAGCGAAGAATTGGACCAAAAAAGATACTTGTATATTCTTAGTATTGGCATTAGCTTCAAAAGGAGAGACACAAAAAGTATGTCATTCTTTTTGAATAAAAATAATACAAACCTTCACAGAATCTTAGAAGAAAAATAACAATTTAAGTAATATTTTCTTTCTGGTTTTAGTTTGGTATAACAAAAACTAGTCAATTAATAAGTATTCCAGCATTTTTTATGAATGCAATATATCCCGAACTTCAAGATCAAGATGGTATGCGTTTAGAAAGCATCATTTTTCTCATTGCATCTTTCACAATTTAGCACTTATCTTTTTAGTTAATCGTTTACCATTGATTAAGGCTGATTGTCTTAAATTTTTGACAATTGTTCGAAATCAACTAGATGGTGAATTATTACTTCGTGCATTACCAGAATGTGTTCGATATTTGTTATCGACAAATATTGTTACACAAACATATGCTGCACATGCCATTGAACGACTACTTTTGGTAAAACAAACACAAGATAAACGTCAATTAGCGTACGTATGCTTTGTCTACATCGAAGGCGATTGTCTTTTATTCACTTTTGTCTCTTTTGTTCGTATTTCAGATTAAATAAAATGGTTTTGATACCATATGCACAACTGATGTTCGACAATCTATTTCGAATATTAAATTTAGAAAAATCATATGAAAATGAGTACGTTATGAGAGGTAAGTAAACAGGAGCTTGGCCAACTAACTCTGTTATTGGTAGTTAGTCCGTACGATCTGTGAACACATACTCAATGTTTGTAATTGTATTATATTTTCTGAAAGAAAGATTGTATACAGTGTGGGCATGTATCAAAATCTTCGACACACTTTTTGCTTTAATTTGAGACATACCAGCGCTCTGAACATCTCGTTTCTCAAAGATGCAATAAAAAGGTAACGGAAGTTCACTCCCATAACAGAGTTAGCTAGCCAATCCACAAGGTTACTCGAGAGTAAATTAAGGAATGATTAAAGTTTGATCCATTTTTCAGACTTCCAAATTATACTATTCATTTTATATTTTTAGCTGTCATGCGTCTATCTTCATCGTTACAAGATAATGTTATGCCATTTTTGAATCAATTAATGGAAAAACTTGTTATTATTTTAAAACGAACCAGTAGAGTATGTATTTCTTGCTCCATTTAAGTCTATTGTTCTTTTACATTCTTTTTTGTCGTTCTATTTTTAGAATCCAAATAAACCAAATTTTAATCATTATTTATTTGAAACAATAAGTTTATTAATTCGAACAAGTTCTATACAAAATCCACAATTAGTTGAACAATTTGAAACCATTTTATTTCCAGTATTTACACCAATAATTTCAGAAGATATTGCTGGTATATAGAAAAATAATAATAAATCATAGAAATAATAAATAACAAATTACTTTTGACACTCTTCATTTTAGAATTTGTTCCATACGTATTGCAAATAATTGGTTTTCTTCTTGAATCTCGTGTATCACCGACGCAAACAAATCCAACGGTGCTTCCCGATTTTTATCGTATTTTATTTCCACTAATATTGACACCATCATTTTGGGACCGGTCGGGAAATATTCCAGCTCTGTCACGTCTTTTACAAGCTTATATACATAAAGCCAGTGAAACTCTTATTATTGAAAAATTAGTAGGTGTTTTTTTAAATTTATTAATCTTTATTTATTCGTTTATTTTCTATTTTAGACAACTGTTCTTGGCGTATTTCAACGTTTAGTTGATCAATCAAAAATTCATGATCACGAAGGTTTTCACATATTAGAAGCATTGATCGCCTATATACCTCAATCATATTTGACAAATTATTTTCGAGATATATTCGTTCTCATATTCACTAGATTAACAAGAGCTAAAACACAAAAATTAATGAAATGTAAGTGAAATAAACAATTAGTACTTCATCAAAATCATATTACTATTTATTAGTATTTGTCTTCGTTCTACGATAGAATTGATTTAATAATTTAACAAAAATCAGCTATTTTACATTAGTATCAAGTGTTTCTTTCATTTAGGTATTACCGTTTTATTTTGTTATTTTATTGTAAAATATGGTGCACAGGAACTGATTACATTAATTGACAGTATTCAACAGAAGTATGCTCTTTCTAAAGAGTTTCATTTTAAATAATGCTGATGTTTTTCTCACTTTATTTTCTAGCATGTTTTCAATGGTTGTAGAACGTTTATTTGTAGCTGATACAACTAAAGTTGATCGAGAAGATAAAAAAATATACGCAATTGGTGTTACACGATTATTAACAGAAGCACAAGCCATTACTCAAGGACCCTATATTAATTTATGGTAGTTAGTAATAGTAATGACAAAATTTTGTGTATGTCATATCTTATGTTTAGGCTTCCATTATTACAATCATTAATACGTGCATTTGAAGTTAAAGATGACATAGTACAAGATAATGAAACAGACGATGCTGACATAGTGATTGCGTTGGATGATACACCAGGTATTTATGTTAAATGTAGCCATACTATCACAATATGTTAATACTTGACGTTGATTTGATTTAGATTACACTCCGGCATTTTCTTCTTTGGCATTTGCAAAAAAGAGCAATATCGATTTATTCGGTTCTGAAATACAGGATCCACGTGTTTATTTAGCAAGATGTCTTTCAACCTTAACAGCAGCTAATCCAACCAAAGTAAGTGTAATATAATGTTTTAACTGGCTTCTTTTTCTTTTTACGCTTACATTTTTTAGTTTACAACAATGATGGCCAACGGTCTTTCTGTTCAAGAACAACAATCAATACGGAATTACTGTTCATTAGCAAATGTTACATTAGCTTAACAAACATATAATAGAACATCTATTTTTATAATTAGGCAATTTTTGTTCCTTTTCTTCAATTTTATGTAACTTTTTACTCGGTGCTCTTGTGTTTGTTTGTGTGTGTGTGTGTATGTATGTATGTATGTATGTGTGTATGTGTGTACTCTTGTCAGTTTATTTTCTATTTTTTGTTGTTATCATTCTTTTTACTTGACAAAAATAGCTGAGAATAAGCAAAGTGTATTCTGTTATAAAGCATTCTAAAGAAAGCATTTATAATATTTTGACAAAAAAATTTTTTAAACACTTTATCTATCAGTACTTACCTCGTAGAACATAATCTATCCTAGATACATCTAATCTAGCACGAAGAATGAGATTCAGTACGTGACATGGTAGTTTGTTTTGTACGTAGATAGACAGTGAAAAACGTGAGATAGGTCATATGGATTATTGTGAAAAAATAGTGAAAAAACTACTGTGCAATATCTTTTGAGAGCCGTATGAATGAATATTGCTGACCAGTATGCCTTTGAAAAGTAACTTTGTTTAACTTATTTAGATTCGATTTTTCACGATATATGACATATTATACACGAATTTGATGAAACATTCTGTTGATTGTGACCGTTATGACGTGCAGGCGGAATATGTTTCCATTATAATTACACTTGGTATTGAATTTGTACACGAAACATTTTAACATACAAATACGATAATTTGGATATTTCAGAGTAAGTTTAGTTTTATAGGCAATTTTCTCTGATAGGAAAATGCTACACAATGCTAGATCACGTTAATGCAGATAGATCTTCAGTAAATTCAGTCTAAATGGAACCAAATTTAATTTCTGCGAAAAAAGAGTGTAAAGAAACAGTGAGTGACAAACGAATGTTAAAACTGTTTTGATAAATGTCTGACTTTTTCTTGTTTTGGACGATTACGATAGTTTCTTTCCTCTTCATGTTATTTACTCACTTTAATTTTTTTCTAGATAAAAAATGATTGGTACTACTAACATTTTTATAGGTCAACGATAATAATGGTCTACAAAATTCAACACAATTAATGTTTAGTGCTAGAAAGCATGTGCACAAGACCATATTCAACGTACATCCAAATTTTATCACTTTATCGGCAACAATGGATCAATAATCATTTATTTAAAAAAACTTTGGACGTTATTAATCAAATCCATCCATCACGGAATCAAATCACATCTATATTTCGTCGAGACTCAAAAGTTGGGTTCTAGCTAATCTATGAAATCGCTTACCTGAGCAAAAAAGAATTATATGATTTACGAATAAAAGAAAAAAGTTTTTGTTGTAAAAACTGAGTAACGTATTTTGTTTTCACTGATAAATATTGATAATTTCAAAAAATATTCAAAAATAATTTTTGTTTCTTATATGTTGCAAAGTCTAATCTATTCCATCTAGTAGTAATTTTTGCTGTAAAAAAACTTTTGATTTTATACTGTTATAGAATTCTTTATCTTCAAGAACATGGACACCGTAGAAAGTGTGAGATATTACTGGCAGAGAGACAAAGAGAGAGAGAACGAAGTTCAATAAACAAAATTATTTATCCTATATACAAATATATGAGCACTGTAGGAATTCCATTGACTTACTGTAAAAAAATCCCTCTTCATGTCGCTAGATCAAGTATATGTTTCTGATTTTTGTTTTTCTCAGTTTTAAGAAAATATATTCGTTTGCTAAATACTTGTTTATAATCATCTCATACTCTGTTTTTGATTGAAAGTCAAATACCGAAGTAAACGAAGAGAATATTACAATGTAGATGATGACAAAAGAAATAACAAAATATCTGCACGTAAACAGTCATTTTTCTCAAAAAAAAAAGAAAAAATTAGTATTATGAAAGTGATAGTGGTACATGCTTTATCTTTCAAAAAATATGTAATATTCTTTTTCTGAATCAGTTTTATCAGTAAAAATGTAGAATTGTTTGACATTACACTGATAGAACATATTTTTATTCTGATATACAGTAAACTCTAAAAATTCAATCTATTCAAAGTTAATATGCTATTTTTATACTTTAACTTTTATCAATTTTAGATTTTATTATTCCATTTATTTTCCAGACATAACATGTCAAAACATATCTGTTTCGTATTGTGAGATTTAAAACTTCAAATGGCTAATTTACCCAATAGTTTGGGTGATAAAGAAAAAGCGACTCATCAATCAAATTCATCATTGCATAGTAATTATTCTCGTATGACGGTAAATTCTCAAATATCAGCATTATATAATAATTCATCCTCAAGCAAACATAATTTATTCACAAAAGTCGGTCATCGTTTACAATCAATGTACAAACGTTTTAAAGGTACACATACACAACTAACAGAAATGGAAATACAAGTTTTGATCACGTTAACGTCTTTTACAAGAGAAGAAGTATATGAATGGTAGGTGATATTTTGATAATTAACTCTACAAAAAAAAAAAAATATATTGAATAATATTTGTTTTTCTAGGCATGAAAAATTTCTTCACGATTGTCCAAACGGTTTTATGTCTCGTAAACAATTTGTTCAAATGTACAAACAATTATCTCCGAAAGGTGATGCTGAACGATTTGCCAAACATGTTTATCGTGCATTTGATCTTGATAAATCTGGACAAGTGGATTTTAAAGAATTTATCATTGGACTAAGTATAACAAGTTCAAATTCAACACCAAAACAAAAATTACAATGGATATTTAATGTATTCGACATCGATGGAAATGGATATTTAACACGTAAGTATAAATAGTAGAAAAAAATAGATTATTCATACTTTGTACGAACGTTATTCTTTTGTTAATGTAGGTAAAGAATGTTGTGAAGTTGTTGAATCTATTGTCCGATTTAATTCAAATGATGAAAATACAGAAGAATTAGCTAAACAACGAATGATGAAAATATTCAATGAATCAGATGGAAATAAACATGATCAATTAACATTGAATGACTTTATTCGAGGATGTGAGAAAGATACACTTATATATAATTTATTATTACCATCTAAAACTACGACATCTACCACTACATTAAATTCTTCCGATGTTTGATAATTAAATGTATATATTATCTTTGTAAAATAGTTGTGTGCTTTAATTCAAAATCTTTTCTTCTTTTTTTTTTTGTGTGAGCCTATTTTGTTTTCCTTGCTTCATGTTTATTGTGCCGCATTTATTCTTCTTCTTTTGTTAGAAAGATGAACGAAAAGAAAAGAGTCAAAAGCACTCGAGTAGAAATAATTTCTTCTAAATGTATAATTTTAAAGATGATGAAAAGTTCGTTTTACCAATTCTTCCAGAACTAAATAGAACCATTCAGTTATATAATATTACTCCCTTGTAATCACAAGTAATAGAGAGTACTGCTCTAGTTGTCGACAACAAGGAAAGCAAAAAACAACAACAACAACAGAGGAGGTCATTAGATCCTTTTTTACTTACATAGCTAAATAAAATCCTTATCAGGACAGCCCCTTGGGGCTAAAATGGTGAAACTCCTCAGAAGTTATTGAATAATTTAGGACGTTGTGACCAACAGAGGGAGGTTAAAAAAATGGCCAAAATCAAAGACTTTCGAGTATAAACTTCAACTTCTCTTTCTTTCGGAGGTATAGGAGGAGTTTCACAAAAGTTGAGCCTCTACAGTAATTGTTATCGATGCAAATTATGCTTATGCCTTATTAGCTCTGTCAGAAATATTTGTCATTGGAAATAATATTTAATGATTGTAAATCGTGATCTATTAACAATGCGAGAGCAAAGCGAATCTGTATATCTATTTTCAATAATGGCACATGTTTTCATTTTAGATAATAACAACATATTTACAAAACAATCTCTGATTAAACAACAGAAATAATAAACTGTTAAATTTCAGATGGTACAGTTGAGAGTGATGATGATTCAATATCATTTTCGACTTCATCTTCATCATTGTTACTAAATATTTTTGATGTCAAATCACTGATCTGATCAAAATCACCATCACTATCATTTAAATCAGCTGACTGTCGATTATTATAACGTTGATTTGAGGCTGGAACAACAGTAAAAGCTGACGGACGAGACGCACCCACATTGGTAGTCACTGTCTCTTCATTTGTCAAGGTTGGCAAACTATTATAGAGAGTAGTCGATTTTTTATCTGTCTGATAGACAAATCCACCGACAGTTGAATTTGATGAATATTTTTGAACTTGCTTAATAACAGCTGTTATATATCCATCACTCGATGATAATGTTGAATCGGCATCATAGATTGTTGCACGTGATGAACTAGAAGGTGATGAGTCTTGAACGGTAATAGTATTATTCAAATAGGTAGGTTGAGTTTGAGGAGGGATTATTTTTTGTTTTATTTCATCATACGCTGATGTACGATTTGGATAGAGTTGATAAGAACCAAGGTCATTAAGAATGGTAGTATGAGTCACGGTTGCATGTGGTGAAACAAATAAGGGCTGTTTTAGACGCAATTTTGTAGTTTGTTCATGCTGATTGTTTGACAATCGTTGAGGTGTTTCTAAAACAGGTATAATAGCTGTTTTCAAATAGGAATTGCTAGCGTGTAGATTCATGGAATTGGTCGTTTTCACACTTAAAAGTAAAGTAAAGTAAACAACAAATAGTCATTAACTATATTTATCAATAGATAGTTGATGTATATTTACCTTTTATGAATACTAAATTGCTCAATAGTCATTAATAATTTTGTTAATTTTTGTAAAAGATCAATAGAGAACATTGAACGAATATGTACAGTAATATTTTCCAAGTCTTGCATTAAAAATTGAGACATTTGTTTCAGATCACTAAATAAAATTTATTGAAGCTATCAAATTTGGTAATTTGACAGTTAATATCAAGGGGAAACAGCTGATTTTTTAGCTTAAAAAATCGGTTTAAATCGAAAATTGTTAAAAATCGCTTAGGATTTTATCTTGTTTTTCTTTACTTTCACTATGTTTGATCTTATTTTGTACAAATAAAGCAGGTTCTGCACTATTTATCGCAGTCTCTTTACTTGATTTCCCAAATAAATCACAGGAAATCGGAAAAGATCGATGAAAATCGAGAAAATCCCAACATCATCTGTTTCCCCATTGTCTAATATTCATCGCTATTTGATTCATACGCTTACTTTATGTGCTGTTTGTATTGCTGTATTTCTTTCGACTTTTCAATATTGTCCATTTCCATCGTATTATTTCGTTTATGAGCATAGCCAAGGTCTTCGTATAAATGATAAACTTTATCTTTCAATGTGATTAACTGCTTACGTAGTAAAAAATGAGCATTATCAGAATCTAATTTTGTTAGTGATGTACGATTCTTGAGAGATGATCGAAGATCCTGTATTTATAGAAAATATGATATAGTAACAATTAGATTATCTATGACAATATACTTGTTGTGTCCAACGTTCAATTAATTGTATATTCTCTTTTTCTAATATGGCTAATTTTTCTTGTAATGTCTCACATTTTGCTTTTATCTCTTGATTAGAAAACAATAAATTTGTCAAATGTGTTTGACTTAGTTCAAGCTTTTTTTGAAGATGATGACCTTCAAATAGAAATCATTTCATTCTAAATTCATAATTAGCAACAATCTAATATTCTTACATTGAGCATTTGCCAATTGTTCACGCTCTTCAATATTCCGTTGATTTACTTCATGTTCACGACTGCTGGCATTTGCAGTACGTAATTGTCTATAAAACATAATATATCGGATTATTTAAATGAAATAAAGTTATATAAAATCTTAAGATAGACCTCAGGTTTTTGCTCTTCATAGAATCTCTGCTAGAGATAAATCAAAAAGTGAAAAGAAAAGTTTATAGTTTTACAGTAAATGAAAAAGTCTTTTGTGTATCTTTTGTATTATTTCATAAATAAATTATAAATTTTAATGGCCAATTCTACAATGAATAGAAGAGCTAATATAGCTATTTTTATTTCAATCAACATTATGTTGTTGTTGTTGTTGTTGCTAATGATTCACTTTTAGTCTTTTATAACCATTTTCAACTTTAAAATAAAATCAGAAAATTAAAGAAAATTAAGTCAAACAAATAAACAGATAAATAAATAAAAAATGAATTAAAAATAATCACTGATTTAGACTTGAGATTGACCATAAAAGGCTGAAAATTAGTCATTAGCAACACAAACACCGTATTATATAAGAAAATCAAAATAGTTGTATTAAGTAGTTCTTCTATTCTATTTTGTTTCAGCTCTTTATGTACCATCTTTCGCGAGATTTTGGCAAAAAAACTCGGTTTTTCATTGACACCCCTTACGATCCAATAAAAACTCGTTCCATCGAATTCAAATTTTTATTATTTTTCATTTATCTTGAAAATATAAACTCCTTAGCATGTTTAGTTTATCGTTAGTAGGGATCTTACGAAGAGTCAAACATGGAGTATTGCTGTTTTAGAAATAAATAGCACTACCGAACAGAAAACTTTATCGTCTAACCTCCTTAGATCGACAATTTCATTTCTGAGTGGTTGTAATGCCATTTGTAAATCAACATTAATGCCATGATCATCCGTGTAGGTTAATGCAAATGTTATTGATTGTTCAAGTTGTTCCCACAATCTTAGCATGTCTTTATCTTAAAAGAAACAATAAATTTAATGATAAAATTGTATTCTTGTGTGAGTTCTTTCGCATTTTTACCTTGTTTTTCTCCTCCTACACGTAATTTTAACTCTTTTGAAATTTGTTTCACATTTGTTAGATGTGCAGTGATTTCATTAACAACTAATTTTGTACGATAAATTGACATATTTGACATATATTTTGATTGTAATGATAAAGAAAGAGAACTATGTACAGTTTGTTGGTGATGATGATCTCGTCGAGGTATATCGCCACACGATGAACTTCGATAAAGTATATTTTCTTTCTTATGATTTAAACGTTGTTTTGTTGGTGATGTACGACGATTATTTTTTTCATTTACTAATGAAGATGTCAATGATGATAGCAAATTACGACGTGTTGCGGTTGTCTGATTTATTTCATTAACAGTAGCAGTGGCACTAGACACACTAACACCGTTTGTTCGATGAGCAGAGTCATGGATGCCATTTGATGTGTTTGGTGCGTTATTAACAATTGTTCTACGCGATTTTCCAGGACTACGAATTTTTAGATCCTAAAATATACATATACTGGATGAAAAACTCTTTTCTCTTTAACATAAATTTTTAAACAACAAATAACATTTTTTTTTTCTATTTCTGCGACTATACTATCTTTTATTATTCTCGTCAATATAATAATACTACAAACCTCTGTTTTAACTGAATTATAGTCTCGCGTTGTTGTTGGATGAGAGTATGGCGAACGTCTTTCATCATTTGCAGCTAAAAGAACAATAAGTGTTATTATCATGTTTTCATTATCAATATAATACGTACTTGATTTAGTTGGAGATTTTTGTATAACATTTCCTTTGGCCGGTTTTTGATTGCCTTTTTTACGTTGGTGTACTTTTGATTCAACGTTATTTGATTTTGAACTTCGACGCAATTCTATCAAATAATAAAGAAAGATGGTAATGATTTAACCGAACAGTTATTAGTTTTCTTATTTAAAGTACATTGAAACATTGCTCTATTCCTTGGCCAGTTTACTAGCATCATTTTTACAAGCTACAAGCTTGGCGACAATTGTATTGTGGACGATCTCACAGTGCATACTTTCTCGGGATTAACAAAAATGTTTAGTTTCATTTGAAAAAATTAGTCATTGAGTTTGCTTTTCCCTATAAGATTATTTGTCATTTACAAATCAACAGTTTATGCATATTATTTTTGGTTTTCGTACATAGAATCCTAAATTTTAATGAGAAACAAAGGTTAAATAATTTATTCATACATACCTTGTACACTTAAAATATTTCGCAATAATTCGGCACACTTGTCAAATTCTTTATTAGTTTTTTGAACAAGTGTTCGAGGCATACATTTAACAACACGTTTCGTTTGCACTTCATTCTAAATATGACAGGAAAAAAAAAGATAAATATGAATGCAACTCAACCATATTTTCAAGAGGTATTTCGAGTGCTCGAAAATATACTTTCTATGAGTCCTTGCTGAGAACTCGCCTCCTCGAAAAATGAGATCTCTCGATATAAGCGTTCGAAGGATTATCGATTCCGAGACCTTGGGTTTCAGATAGGTAGCGAGCCCTCGAACAGAGATGTTCGGGACTTTCGAGCCTTCACTGTACCCTCGGACGAAGATTTTTCATCTGTTTGGGTACTGAACATCTCTGTTCGAGGGCTCGCTATCGATCTGGAATCCGAAGCCTCGAAATCGGTAACCCCTTTTTATTGAAGGATTTAAGTCTCATTTTTTGAGGGAGCGACCTCTCGGCGAGGACTCGTTTTCGAGTCATCGCCGCACCTCTCTAACGACTTTTCTCGTCTGCATGGGAATCATATCAATAAAAAGACGTTGTAAGCAACCTAATCAAGATATCATAGACATATAAATTACTAAAAATAAATTATAAAGATCTCTTCATACAAAAAATGAATAATGCGAATTAGAATGCACGACTTTATAAGTGTACGACATGCTACATTTTTACCTTGTCTCGCAGTAAATAGTTTTAGCTCTTGGGCTAGCGAGGATATTACCTTCAGTATACTCATTGTTGAAAAACTTCAGATTATTAGAAAAAATAAGTTTGTAAGTGTCAAAATGGTACGAAGACTGCGTCCAAACTGCGCGATTCTTTTGAACTTTTTCTTGATCACACAATGAAGAAGTGCCCTTTCTTTGGACGAACTTCGAGGGTTATTATTGAAATACTGATTTCTCCAGTTATGCGTAATGAGTTACTCATGTTTAATGAAGAGGCGCTCTCTTACGCCTCTGCCTATGACTCATTATCGTATGTAACAAAAAAGTCTTAACAATCAGTATTTGAATGAAGTAATAAATAACAACTACATGTGTAATATTTATGCTAGTTTAGAAGGATGAAAGCGCTTGTACGCTTTTGTTAACGTCTTTTAAAAATAAAATGTCTTGGCATTCAAAACAAATGAATCGAGATTCAACTTTCTTCTCGGATGTTTTCCTAAAGTTTTAACTAACCCTGCTAGATCTAATGCAAATACAGACTTATCACAGCGCACACTGGCTATTGTTACTCTGCGAAACTATCCAACCTATCAGGCAGGGACGGATCTCATTCAAAGGTTGTTTGAAATAAAGTTTGAAAAAGAGTATTTCGTATTTCTCTAAGATTATATAGAACTCGCTTGCATCTCATTTAGGCACGCACCAAGTAATTGACTAAGGATTTCATATTTTTCAAGAGCCTGGCATTTCGTAAATTGCTTCGTTAAAAATTTTCTGACTCGGTAAGAAGGTAGAGCAAACATTGGAAAATGTTTGCTCTACCTTCTTACCGAGTCAGAAAATTTTTAACGAAGCAATTTACGAAATGCCAGGCTCTTGAAAAATATGAAATCCTTAGTCAATTACTTGATGCATGCCTAATCTCATTTGAATCAAAAAAGTTTACTCTAAAACTATAAAAAAAATAAAATATCGATATAAATTTTGTTAAAGAATTTTTTCGGTAGCAGAGTTATGTGACCACGCTGTGTAGTTCTAGCAGCCATATAGCAAACAACTTTAAAAATATGTCTTCATTATCTAAGATTGAATATTCATATAGCAACTATATACCTACTTCAGATGACTTTTATAATGATTAAAATCTTTAAAACTTGTTAAAAACCAAGATTTATAGACGATAGTATTATTAATAGTCTAATAAGTAAAAGCGACGATTGTCCGTCTTTAATTAGAGTCAAAGTTAAATTACTGACATTGGTAGAAAAGAAACTCATAAACAACTTTTTACCCTTTTTTTTTATCTTTTACTTTTTTTTCTTTCTATCCTGCTCGTTTATTATTATAGTTAGCTAAACGAATGTTTTGTCTATTACGCCTTTATTTCCGTTCTTTTTTAGTTTGAACATCAGGAAATAGTGGTAGAAATAATAAAAAATGAATGAAAAGAAAGAAAAAATAACCGCGAACTAACGGATATACAAAAAATAGTATTCACAAATGTTATCGTTGTTTCTAGTCTCAAATATATAGATTTTTTAAATCAACATACATACACCGAAAAACTGAATTAAAATCCTATAGGGTAATCATAATTATAGTTACATATAGGGCTAAAAAGGTCCTTCCAGAATAACTTAAAACAGCCATTATAACAGAAAAAATGTTTTCATCAGCGTACAAAATTTTAAAGCGCTTCGTAGGAGATAACTGTAATTTCGCCAATAGTGTGAAGGCTTAAGAGTGATAAATATGAAAAGTTAAAGCTCTAAGAGCTCTAAAACGTATTTTTCAAAAAAGAAAATTCAAAAATAAGACTCTTTCCATATTAAAATAATGAAATCATGATTATTTCTTTCTTTTTTTAAACTTATTTTCATTTTTAAATACGTCACGTAAAAAAGCATATAAAACCTAGATGTCGACCGAATTAAATGTTTTTTAAAAACGCTTTATTAGACATCGTTTGAATCCCTTACATACGGTTAGAATACTGCAGAGTCCTCTGATAGTAAACATTTTAATGCATTCTATCGGTAGTAATATTTCAGAGTATAAATGTATCAAACTATACAGAACTATATAGACTGATAAGTAGTATGTGATTATTCAAGAAGTCACTGCACACTGTTCATATTAAATGTACTGCATATATATGTGAAGTGTCATGTCACCATTAATTATCGCATAGGAAAACTGTCGGGTCCTTGAAAATATGCGCAGGTTTTGGAGCTCATGTAGTATGTTAATTAAAAGATATATCAAAAACCTAATTTCAGCTATGTCATCTACAGCTCTTAGCCTTTCTATTGATCTTTGTCTCAAATCTATACGATTAGGAATAGCTGAGAATAAAAAAAAGAGTCTAGAAAGAAAGAAAGAACATTTTTGCTAGGCAACGCTCGGAGTGAAAAGCAATAAGTCTCCTGTCGTTTCACTTAGTGCATTCTAAAGAAAATTTTTTTGAAGTGAAACAAAACTATACAGCCAGCTGTCCTGCGGGAAGATTGGAAAGTCGACTGAGTGAAACGATAAACAGACGAAATTAGAACATCCAGAAAGTCATAACAGTTTGACTTTTTTTCAAGAAGAATGTACATTGCTATATCAACTAATTCATTATCGTGTCATATATTCTACTATAGTTTTCATCATATCAAGCACTGTAGTATATATTCACTATAAAGGATTCCACATGACCATTAATTATCTCATAGGAAAAATGAGAGAGTTGTCTCAAAAATATACTCATTTTGTGGCATTAATTATAGGAGAACTAAAGCAAATATCCGAACACTGACTTCAGATTGTTATCTGCAGTTCATCTACTTTCGAATTAAGTCATCGAAACGTTTCTCTTCAGAATGAGACGTACGCGAGCACTTCATAACTTAATTTTGCGTTAATCGAATATATTTTGTGCAACGATCAGAAATTTCATTGCAAGATGAGCAAAATTCCCTCTAGATTATAAGTAGTTATAATGATTATTCCTACCATTACTACTCATTCGATCTCATTAAAATAATTGAGTTTAGCAAACAAATCGAGAAAATGAAGTGTCTTAAACTTTTAGCGTTCGCTATAAATCTAATTTTGTACCTATAGCTTTTTTGTAAAAAACGTCCATATGTGACGTAATCAACTGACTATAGAATGGGAAGGGGTAAGAAAAGATAACTTGATAACTTGATTAAGCTAGCGGTGAGTTGTTGAATGATTACATAATCATCAAAAATTTGAAATCGATCACTTAAGGGTATTCCTTCTCTGTTTTTCCAAAAAACTTTTCATTTTGAGCTGAACATAGTTTAATGTAGAGGAAAGTCTGAGTTATAAAATCCGACCACTCTCAGCTTTCCACAACTTTCCTTGAAAAAATTTTGAAGTTTTTAACTTTTTTCTTCAAAATCTAGAAAATCTCAATTTTTTAGTTTCATAAATTTTTCTCTCCTTTCCTATATATTCAAAATGTTTTCTTATAAATAGCATAACAGATGTGACCCGATAAAAACTAGAGTTTTCCAGAAAATCCATAGAAGAACATGTCAGAAAATTTACTAGATTCAGCACATTTTCGTTACAAAATGGCAGTAATTAGTGATCTCTGTTCCTGTTAGGATGTGTTGCATTAAAAACATTTCATTGAAGAAGTTCGTTTGTTTTTGCGGACCTCTGCCTGTATGAGTATCTTGATGAAAACAATTTTTTCTGAAAGGAAAAGACTTGGAGATATTCTAATGACAGATTTTTATCAGCCAGAGTCTGAACTTTCAAACAATAATATGAGAGTGTGTGAGAGATTCTTGATCTTAATCGGCAGAGTCCTTTTTAGAAGTGACAAAACTTTTTGACTACCCTAAGTATGACTAATATATTAAATATAACTCAGATAAATTTAATCAAATTACTTCAAACGGGAAATGTTGAGTAAATTAATTAAAAGTTAGTCCATCTTATCGAGAACTTTGTGCACTATCTTCAGTATGAATAGTCAGTTATTGAAACTTATTCTTGATTAAAAATTACAAAACTAATAAAAACATGTTCTTTTAACTTTTCAAGTGATAAAACTTCAAAGAGTCATCATTTTTATCTACATCAATACTATTTCTATAAATGTAAGTTAAAGGAATCTTACTTTTGACTTTTCAATATCTGGCGTTGAATAAGCTCGATTTAATTTTGAACTTTTTATATTCATATCAGAATGTGTTGACTAAAACGAGTTAAATCTCTCAGATGTTTTTATTTTTTGTTTCTAGAGATTTTACAAGTAATTTAGAGAGATACGATAATAATAATAATGATAAAATATTGGCATAGTATAATTAATAAAATACCAAACTATAGTGGAACGAAATAAGGAAAAACAAAGAAATCTGTTTAAAAATTATAACCAAACAACGATAACAATGTCACTTGAAATATTCTAAATTTTCCTACTGTTTGATTTGACATATGATTAGAGAGGGAGAAAGAAAAAAAAGACGTCTATCTTTCAAGTATAACGTGTGTCTTATAATAAAAACCGACGGTTCTTTTTCTGTATTGTTTTGCAATAAAAACACGTAAGTTTTCTCGTTTATTTCAGGTAAAGTTCACCGTATTACCATTTTTTGAACATTTCTTTTAGTTGGACAGACGTCATGTTTTTATTGTTTTCTAACACTCATTTCATTTAAAGTTATTTTTTTATTTTTGTAAATTTTTTCATTTTTTTCTATATAGTTCATATAATGCGCTTCTTCGACGGCATATGATAGAAGAAAGAACGAAGAAGAAAAATAAAAAAGGACTTTTTTTAACTTCCTTATCAGTTTCATTGTATTATAGAAACATCATACGAAAGCAGGTATATCACACCATTTTAAAAAGCATTCAAATTTTCATGTATAATTAACTATAGTTTTAAATTGAATAACATCGGCAAAAGAGGAAAAACATTTGAGTAATCTAAACTTAGGGCCGTAACAATAGGAGGATGTAAGCAAGTGTACATCCCTCCTGCTTTATGCATCTTTGCTACTTTTTCCTAAAAACTTGTAGAGTATTAAAACCGGTT